GGATTTTAGCATTCGGACAAGCTTGTAACATGCCCCTGCCAATATTTCACAGATTAAATGTAACTTTTCAGATCATAATTCCCATAGTCCCCAATCCAGAATGACCATTACCTGATTATGGGGCTCTGGGCGTTACAATCTCCAAAGAAACTTGTTTCCTCTGAAATGTTTTCACTACTAATCACAGTTCAGAGACAGATACTCTGTATAAGGAGAGTTTAAAAGAAAACTACCATGTCTTAGGAACAAGAAACCTAAGATTGTTGTAAACCGCAATGAGTCGCCGACTTAGGCTGAGATATTAGCGGTATACAAGCGTATAAATAAATAAATAAATGATACGTTTGAGTGTCGTGTGAATGTAGTGAGAAACCTCTGAGTCTATGTGAAATAAACAACAAATCATATATTTTTAAATATATACATTGAAGGTCTTATTCAGATAACCTTGTGCCCCCATACATTTTGTATGTATGTGTAAATATATCTTATAAAGGGTTAGTTTAACCTCTGATTTGCTAGTGAAATTAATTCCTGTGTCACGAGATGTCTAAAAGTGTGCCACCAACATAAAATATTTGGAAAGCTATGAACTACAGCTATCAGAAGACTCAACCACTTTTGCTCTCTGTTTTATGCACTTTTGATAACTTGATCCAGGCATTTACTAAGAATACCATGATTGTTTGTGTGTTGGCTTTATTGATAACATTTTCCAAACCACTTTTGAATATTTCAGGGCCGTGGCATTTTTGCAAGTGGAAGCCCTTTTGCCAAAGTCACTCTCCCAGATGGACGCACATTTTTTCCTGGGCAAGGCAACAACGCCTATGTGTTTCCAGGAGTTGCTCTTGGAGTTGTCTCATGTGGAATAAAACATATCAGTGACGATGTTTTCCTTACTACTGCAGAGGTACTAGTTATTTATTGTATACTTTAAAAAGTATTCGCTCATTTATTTAATCTGAAATAGATATTGCAATGGGTTTGATTTGTGTCTGGCTTTCCAAGCTGTATATTATTACTTTTTTGTGTGTCAGGAGCGACTCGAGAAACTGCAAGTCGCTTCTGGTGTGAGAGAATTGGCCGTCTGCAAGGACGTTGCCCAGGGGACGCCTGGATGTTTTTGATGTTTTACTATCCTTGTAGGAGGTTTGTCTCATGTCCCTGCATGGGGAGCTGGAGCTGACAGAGGGAGCTCATGTGCGCTCTCCTCAGATTATTACTAACTGATGGTAATGTTGCAGTGGTTCAATTTTAAATTACCATTCCATATGAGAGTGGTTTTGCATTGCATGGGCAGCACTATTAGCACATTGAATCCCCTTTCGGAGAGAAGAAGTGGGATATAAATACTATAACGACAACTGTTACTATTTCTAATATTACAGTGACTGTAACCATCTTCTATAGAAAGCTTACTGATTACATTTGTTTTCAGTAGTTATTACTATAGAGAATGTCTTTAAAAATCCATTGGGATGCTGCCAGTTCCTGCAATATAATTGTATTTGTGTCCCCCCCCCCCCATTATTTTGGCATATGAAACATCCATTCTTAAATCTCAAAAACCATTGCAGAATAGTATAAAACAATTGATCAAACCAGACACATTATCATGTAGAACCTCCCATCTTAGAAGGATAAGTAATGTTCCCTTTTTCCTTTATTGTGCTTGGATTTGTACTCCTGTATACTATTGTTCTCTTGAATTCCATTTTGATTGGAAGAATTTATAGACTCATTGCTGGAATCTTAACACATGCAGTTTGTCACAGGGTTCAGTCATTTCATGCCCCCCCCCCCAGTTATATTGCAATGATAACATGTTGCATAAAACCAGTGTTGATGTAATTATGCATATATGTCTGTATGTGTGTCTTCAGATTTTATTTTTAATATTGTATCAATATGCTGACCATAGATTCATAGAATCATAGAGTTGGAAGAGACCTCATGGGCCATCCAGTCCAACCACCTGTCAAGAAGCAGGAAAATCTCCTGAACTCAGATTACCAATAATATAGTAGTCTGATTCAGTAATTACAAGTCATTGCTTCCATTTTGTAAGCAAGAATAAAAAATTTAGAACTCAGCGATAAATTCAGATTAAAGAAGGCATGACAGGGGCTCTTACAATCAAGAATTGCATCAGAATGTGAGTGTTCTGCAATAATTTCAAGATGCTACAACAGATATATTGTAATACTCATGGGCATATAGGGGAAATACCAATAGGTAATACCAATTACATATTTAGTGAATATTTCACTGATTTGATATACACCGATATAGCCAAATGTTGACTGTCTGAGAAATATGCATTGCAGCATTTCCCACTTTATAAAGTGAGTTTTCCAACAAAATTTACAGAAGTACATTGAACTCCAAAGCTTGAAATAGTCATTTCTCATGACTGGATATACATTTCTTTTGAGGACAGTGAATCACATTCCATACCTAATATAGAAAGTGCTATAGAAAAAAAACATTCCAACAACCATAAGTGGTAGAGCCTCTTGTGTGCAAAATGTGACCATGTGCAGCTTCCAGTGTGATCCAAACACTCTCATTTTATTTTATTTTTTGTCTCAAAAATTATTCACTTTCTAGGACACTGCATCTTACACTGTGACCTCAAATGGAGTATTCTTTGCACAATTTTCACATCCTGAAAAATTTAACAACAATAAAAGCTTTCCAGTTGCCATTTTGACATTTACACAGATTTGTTAGCAATGACATGCAGTGTTTACTCTGCAGAAAATACTTTAACTATACTTCATAAAAGGAAAAACCAACATGTTCAGCAAGTCTTGTAAATGCTGATTTATCGTTAGTAAATGTTTAATTTTTATGCCTATTTTATGTCCCTAGTTACCTGGATTATGTAAAAATTTCTTGGGTAAAAAGGGATCTTGAGTGGAAAAAGTTCAAGTAGGCTTGCTCTTGAACATTACCTCTGGTTTACCGTTGGGGACTTTTTGGTCTGAAATAATCAGGAGCATTGGGCAAAAATGTAAAATTGTACCATGCAGCTTTCTTGAAAAGCTTTTTTAAGAAAAAAAGAAGAAGAACAAAATGGTCTCCAGATGAAACATATGCATCCTATGGAAGTATATATGCCCCCACCCCCAGCTAAACTGGGCATTTAAACTTGCAGGCAGGACGCCTTTCCTCAGGCAACCTTTCACGCTTTCTGTATGCATAAATCAAGGTCCAGGCACTTGTCAGAATTTTGACCAACAACGATGGGCAGTGATCCATTGCTCAGGAACTTAGTTAATTTTATCCTCTTTGCTAAAACCTTCCTCTGTAATTTCAGTTGGGTATGGCAGTCTGCTTTCTATGTCCTAGGTTGCCACGTCTGTTTTAAAAGCCATGCCTAGTTCATTTGGTTTTGTGAAGCAATTGATGTATAATTTGTAAAGTGCTTTGGAAATTTCCAAAGTGAAAGGTGGGGCAGGCACTGGACTGTGAAGTTGTCTCAGATGTCCAATTTGAGAGGAAGACAGCAGCAGCTGGTTTACTTTACAGACAATTTTAGTTGTTAAATTAAATAAGAAAGTGAGAGACGCTATGCAATAACTAAGACAAACAAATCAAAGGCTAACAAAGTGCAGATTTTGCCAAAGTATGGTACCTCATTAAGGCCATGATCTTATACACATTTACTGGGAGTTATCCATTTATGCTGTTACACTCAATAGGGCTTCCTTTGAGTAGATACGTATGATTGCACCGCGAGTGTACCTGCTTTCAAGTCTCATTCATAATAGTCATACTACAGCCATTCAAGCACTTGAGTCTGGTTTCAATCATGCTTAAGAATCAGAGTGTCACAGAAACAAAAGCATGTTCACATCTTGAATGGATTTGACTGGTTATGTCTTATCTGCAAAGGAAGTACTTTACTACTCACACGACACATCATTAATTCAGGAAATTCATTTTTCCGAACCCTACAGAAAAGGGTTTGATAAATTCATAGAAAGTCGTTATATCAGTGGGTATCAGCCCAAATCTCACTCTTTTGAGGCATCAGAATCGCACTGGCGGAGATGGGAAGACAAAAAGGAAATAGTTTTTGCATCCTATCCAGCTTGTACGTTTTCCAAAAGCATCAGACTACCTGCTCACTATGAAAAATAGAATTGTGGACTTTATCAAGACTTTGAATTTATCCAGCAAAGCAGCTTTTATATTCCAATTCTGAAAGAAGAAAAAACTGGATTTTAGAGTTCTGACAGCCATAGCCTTCTCCAGAATCATAGCTTACAATCCTTTACATCTGAGTTGCCCCTATTGAGCACTTACTGCTTGAACTGAAAATACAGAGGGTTCAGTGAGACTAAATGGGGTAAGAGTGGAGTGAAGCAATGGATCTACTGCCTGATCCCAACCAAGCATGGCCAAACTTTAATGACCAGAGCAGAAAGGGTGTGATGGTGCTCCTGCATCATATTCTCTTTGGAAGCAATTGGGAGTGGGGAAAAGATAAATTAACAATGGTAGTTCTTCCTTCTGGGGTTGGAAAATGGAGTAGATTTGAACTATATCCAAACCATTTTTGATGCACCACCTTTAGGATGCTCTGCTTGCTACCTCTGGCAAAAATAGTATTGACAAGATATTTCTGTCTGGGAAACTTTCATCAACCAGGTTATATGGCGCGCCTCTCATTCTCAGGACTGCACTTTAGACCATCCCATTGCCCTCTCAGCAAGAGGAACTGGGGTTCAGGATTGCCTGGCCACATTTTGAATCAGCCCATAAATAATTTATTGTGCATATGTGATTTAAAGTGATTTATCTACTTATGGCAACCCCATTAATTTCATGTGATTTTTAAAGGCAAGGAATACTTAGAGATTGTTTTGCTAGTCCCTTCCTATGAAATAATATGACAAACTAAAGTTACTCATATGTTGAAATTCCCCTTAGCTAAGTTGTAATCAGAGGGGGAAAGGGCAGCTTTGTGCCATGGCTTTGCAGTGTAAAGAGAAGTTGGGCACTGTGGCCTAGTTTTCACCTTCTCTAGTCAAATCTGATAAAAGAAACAGGAAGAAATTGTAAGAACTGGAAGATTTGTTTTCAGGTGTTCCTATTTTCATGCCAAGCAAAGTCAAGTTCAGCTTTGAGTTTGGATGATAAACCTGGGTCATGGTACGCTCAAGTAAGACAAGTGTATGCAATTTCACCGTGCTTACAAGTGGCATTTTTTCACATCAAGCAGAACCAATATGGGAGAGTATTGTGAGCTCATAAGTTATACTTGGGACTACATATACTGTAGTGAGGTTTTTCCAGGTAGAATTCCATTAGAATTTCAAATATATTTTCAAGACACTTAAGTTTTTTCATATTTATAGTTGTCTATAAAACTAGTGGATATATTTACATAACAACAACAACAATATAAGAATAGCTTTCTCCTTTAAAGTCTGGTTGCATTGACTGTGATATATTTATATTTATGTTTATCTTCTTTTAAAACTTTGCTAAGGTCCAAAGATAAAAATAAAATTAAATTATGTGCTGCTTTTCCTTGGATAGTAGAACAATCTGCAAGGCAGACAGCTTTGGAAGCAGAAGGGGGTGGATTTTCAGAGACAGTGTGTGATAAGAGAATATTGAAAAGAAGGGAAGTCCATATATCAACCTGTCTATTTTCAATTTCTTACTACATAGCTTATCAAGCTTCAGCTTTGAAGCTTTGGGGATTTAGTAGGCAGATTAGAATGTGAACAAGGTGAGAAATACGTTTTTACAGTTCAAATATGATTGTTTTGCCCTCTCACAGAACTCTTGTATTAAATTTTAATTATTTTCTCAGCAGTGTGCAATTGTAAGCCATGCTTTGTTGCTTTACGGACTAATATATCCCTGAAAAGAGGCAGAGTGTGGCATAGTGGTTTGGGTGCCAGGCTGTGACACTGGAGACTATGATTTGAATCCCTTTTCAGCCATTGAGTGACCTTGGGCTAGCCACACTGTCTCAGCATCAGATGAAAGCAACGGCGGACCTCCTCTGAACAAATCCTGCCCCCATAAAACTATGATGGGTGCCTTGGGGGTTGCCATAAGTCACATATGACTGGAAGGCAGACAGTGGCAACATCCCTGGAAATGAAATAGCTACTGATCTGCTATATGAAAAAATGATCAAATGGGAAGAACGTTCCTTCTTTTCTACACTACTTTAGCACCCTCTTGTGGCTTCGCTATTACATGAACAAATATTTATGCATGCACCACATATATTTTTTGTAGTGCAGAAAAAAATATGGAAGAATGATCTAGCCTGCGGACTTTAGTTTGGGGACCCCTGAACTACAGGATGATTGGGGGCAACATGGGCTACAGTCAATTTGGAACTGGGAGATTGAATGTCCACCTGTAGCAGATCTCTGCATGTGGAACTACTATCACTATGCTGTGTAGGGCAGGAATTTGGCCACAGTGTAATAAAAACCTTTTCTTCTTATTTGAGCTGCCAGAGTTTAAGAATGCACAACATACCCCAGTTTTGGATCCTTAATAAGAAAGGGTGTCAAAATATGCCAGGATATACCTCCAAAACAGTATCCCTTGCAGCTTTATTTTTATTTCAGGACTTCCACATCCCCAAAATGATAACCCACGGAGGTTTGTGTAATAAATGCACCAGAGAGCTTGTATTTTGAACATAAAGAAAATTTTGTGAACTGTTCACAAATTCCCCAAAGGGGAAAAAATAATGAAAATGTACAAAAAAATATTCAGTATTACTATTTCTTGTTCTATTCAGATGTCTGCCTTGGTTTCACTGCCATTGTCTCTGAGAAACCTCTATAGTGTCACCAATGCTGCCACTAGTAGCTGTTTGCCACATTTAGTCTGGCTTCTCAGAAAAAATCTGTCTATTATGAGAGACCTTGCCAGCAGCACTACTTCCATCAGCCGCTCAGGAGCACACAATCCCACTACTATAGAAAGGTAGTGTCTTGGTTTTGTATCTACTCTTGTTTAAAGAAGAGTAATTACAAAAACAGATTATTACTGTGTTATTACCATGGCAGAGGATTTTCAAATAAAGTTGTCTTCAACAGGCAAGGCTAAAGCCGTATTTTGTTTTGTTCCTAGGTTATATGTCAACAGGTTTCAAAGGAACATTTAGAAGAGGGCCGTTTGTATCCACCTTTAGCATTAATTCAGGATGTCTCCTTGAAAATTGCTGTCAAAGTAAGTTAATTCTGTACCTTTTTATTAATAAAAGGATTAATTTGTTTTGTCCAGAAGGCATTACAGTTTACTGGCATCTTTTGTCATTTAATTTTATGGACAGGGCACTGCCTTGAATAATAGCAGTGTACTAGGATTCATTGCAAATCAACAGCAGTGTCTGATTGAATTGTTTCTCTGCACCATCTATTCTGCTGACTTTTTTCATAATATTGTTTGAAAGTGAACACATTTGATTTTTTAGAATTTTAGCAAAGGGTTTTATCTAAAAAAAGCTGACTGTGGCTATAAGGCTGACTTGTTTGAGATCCTTTTTTCTAAGGATCTCAAGGTTGCATTCATTATGCCTTATTATCTACACACAAAAACCCATGAAGCAGGTTATATCAAAAGGTAGTAACTGACCCATAGACCATGTAGTGAGCTCCATGTTCCTTAGAGAATTGAATATGATTCTTCCCAAACACGGTATATAAATATTCCCTTACATGGAAAATTGAATTTGATATCTGTTTTTATTTGAAAACAAATGGCAGCAGGAAACAGTTCATTTCTCTTTCCTAGAGCTCAGTGCTGTCTGCCTGATCCAAATTTAATTTAATACAATATAAAAAAGACGAGTAATCTCTGCTTTCTTGTCCAGTTGGGAAGTCATTTTTTCTCTCTCAACAACTATTTTATTGCTCCTCACAGCTCAAGGCAGGGCACAACACAGATTAAAATACAATGTATGACTTTAAAATACATAAACATAAGATTAAAATACAAACCATTACACATTAGGCATTGTTTTCTTTTTATCTTCCAGGAGCCTGCCATTTCTTACATTTATTACTAAGTGAGACATAGATGATCTCATGTAAAGATCTTTGTCCTCAATAAGAGTCTCTTAATGAATTGATTTTCTTAGTTTGACACAGTAATTGCTTCCAGCTGTGTGTAGAAAACATTGTCATATTACTTCTCCATGCTGATAATACATAATGTAGATGTCAAAATACATTTATGCAGCCTTCTCACTGTGAAAATCAGCATTCTGTATGCGTAAAACCTCTCAGTATGATTACAGTAAACAAAAAGTTTTCAAAAAAGTTAGATGTAGTAGTCAGTGCAATTAACTGGATTTTGTTATCAGTCAAAGGTATGTTTTTTAATAGCCCAGTATCAAACAGGGATTCAATGCAATTTTTTGAGATTGTCATAATATAAATACTTAGCCCATTCTTCAACAGGGAATCATCTGATCTGGTGAAGGGAGGGCAGATAATATTGGATTTAACTTATAATATTTATTTCAAATAAATGTTAATTTTCAAAGTCACTGATTGCTCCTTCCTTTAGGCCTGCAGTTGTTGCTTTGCCTTTAGGATGTATGGACATATGGGAAACATGGGAAATAGATAGGTCTACTTCAAGTAAGCATGCACAGCATTTTGTAGTTGCTGATTGGTGTCAGTGAGGAGTGAATCCACTTCAGATTTCAGTCTGAATTTTAAAGTATATTCAAGGTAGTTTACTTATTTTGAGATTTGAGTTCAGCATCTTCATTATATAGTTTCCTAAGCCCAATATTGCAAGCAGTGCTGTATTAAGTCACAGGATTCTAACTTATGAATACATGGTAAAATTGAAGTGATCTTCCCCATAAATCTAGTTATTTTTAAAAAAGAAAAAATGACAGGCATTTTGGTATCCATCTGATCAGAACCAAGCAACTGATACTAAATGTTGTGATTTCCTCATTAAAAAGCATTTCAGGTTGATGCAATATTTTAACAATGCGGGGCTTGTCTTGTTCTCCTAGATTGTGGAGCAAGCCTACATGAACAACACAGCCACTTTCTACCCTGAGCCAGAAGACAAAGAAGCATTCATCCGCTCCCAGATGTATAGCACTGACTACGAAAGCTTTCTGACAGATTCTTACACCTGGCCCAAAGAAGCCATGGAAATACAGACTGGAAACTTTTAAAACAAAAAATAGCACTGCAACAACACTGAAAGCACTCAGACACTTGCTAGTTTTCCTCATTTGCTGAATCATAGCACAATTTTATCAAAACTCAGGTTATATTTTCTTCTTTTTAAAGGGCTCTGGATACTTTTGAAAGCCATAGAACTTTACAAATTTCAGATTTTAATAGTTTGTTAAGCTAATCTATAAGCAAATTGAGCATACAGTTAAGACAATGGAGCATAATTTGTATACTGATTTTTAAAAATAAAGGGACTCTATACTAATTGAGGAATGCAGAAATGTACTTTTTTGTCTACCTTGACATCTGTATGAAATTACAGATATGTGCTAGTAATGAGTTCAGAAGAGCAATATTGCAACTGAGTGATGAAGCAATATATCAACGTGATCATTTGAAATGTGAAAAACTTATTTCACATTTTTATTCCTTGATGTCAGAACAAAAAGCAGTTTGTATGATTGTATCAAGTGCAAGTGTGAAAATTGTCCCATGTTTTTCACTAGGAGGCATTCTGGCAAAATCAAGAAAAAAGAAACTGGTATGGAAGTCTTCGACGCTGCCACCTTTCGTTTTGTAACTTTAGCGGGTCATCATAAAGCAATCACTACTTTCTGAATAATACAGAAAATAGATGCACTTATGCTGAAATATTCATCTTGTTTGGATGCAAAGGTTTTCCTTTGTTCATCAACATTACCATATAATTTAAGAGCCTTGGTAGAGAAGACAGTGTAGTTCATGAACCTCTTTCCAACAATGGTGGGCTGAAATTTTCAGGAGAGTCTGTACAGCAAAAGTGGTTAGTTGAGCACTGAATTCCATCTAAGAGAGGATGTTGAAAACTGTGTGTAAGTGGTGGATAGGACCAAGGGGGAGAAAGAATCAGACTACACATACCAGCCTAGTTTACAGTTATTATTGCCAATAACTACACTTTAGGAGAGATGCTTCAGTCCTTTAGAAAATAAAGTTGCAAAACCAGAAGATATGATGGAAAGGGGATGTGGATGGTTTTTGGAACCCCAGCGAGAAGTCATTTCCCAGCTCTGCCTTAGAGCATCTATCAATGCTTGTCTCCAAGCAGATTTCATTTTTGCTAACAACTACTGAAAGAATTGTTACTTTTCATGAATTTGGTTAGTTTCCTTTTAATGATACCTAAACAGGAACTATATAATAGCAGTCCCTCAGGGCCAAGTATGATTGTCTTCCAAGGGTAAAGTCTTGGCGGTGGGTCCGTAAGTAACTGTGGAGACATTTTGGATCCACATGTTCTTTTGCAGTGATGACATAGATTTCCATATGGAAAGTTTGCTTGATGTGCCTTCTTCTTGTCACATTTCTCCCTTTCTCCCTCTATTCGTGCCTCTTCAAAATTCACAGCACTGTTGGTAACAGCTGACCTCCAGTTAGAACACTCGACCAGGTCTTCCCAGTTCTCATTGTTTATGCCAGTTTTTAGGATTAGCTTTAAGCCCATCTTTAAATCTCTTTTTCTGTCCACCAACGTTATGTTTCCCGTTCTTGAGTTGAGAGTATAGTAACTGTTTTGACCAGGCATTTGGACAATGTGGCCTGTCCAGTGAAGTTGATGGCAGAGAATCATTGCTTAAATGCTGGTAAATATTGGTATATCTATGAATGTCCCGATCCTCAAACACTGTCTTCTTCCTTTGAAAACATGCACTCACCGAGCTCAAATGTTGTATTTTGGTGTCGATGTCAACTTTTGTGGAGAGGTGGTTGTTTAGGTAGCAGAAGTGATCAACATTTTCTAGCATTACACCATTAAGCATTATTTCTGGCATTGCAGAGGGATTGGTTGATGCCTGCTGGTAGAGCACTTTGGTTTTCTCTATATTCTGCAAGAGGCCAAGCTTTTCATATGCTTCTGCAAAGGTGTTTACAGTGGCTGAATGAACACAGACTCCTGTCATCAGCACATTGGAGTTCTTTAACACCAGTTGTTGTGACCTTATTTTTGGCTTTCAGCCTGCTGAGGTTAAAAGATGGCAAGCCATCGGTCTGATACATGTTTTCCACACTGGTAGGAAGCTTCCCATTAACGAGGTATAGAATCATAGCTATGAAGATAGAAGATAAGGTGGGGACAATATTGCATCCCTGTCTGATACCTGATCCCATTTTAAATGGGTCATTTGGGGAGCCGCTGCTGTCCAAGACTGTTGCCATCATGGAGGAGCTGCCGGATGTTTACAAATTTATCAGGACATCCAATAAACCCATACATAGATTACCGGTAATCATAGTGAAAAGTCCTTTTTCAGTCTCACTCTGTCAATTTTCATGGATGACTTAATTTTATTGATGCGAAGAAGAAAAGTTCCTTTACAGCAATATTCATATTTATAGTATGAGAAACTTCTATCACATTTCTCCCATCCCACTTTTTTATAAATAATTCCCAGCACTTGGTCATTTTCAAGATTTCCAAGCACATGCCTTTTTCTGCACTATTTCCATCCAAACAGTTCTTTGTTTTTAACCCAGAGCAAACTATGCCCCATCCTTTAGTATATAAATACTAAGTATTTCATTTACTCATGCTAAAATATTAACTTACACATCAAACCCTACAAGTTTCCCACCAAAATGGTTTTTAAAGCTATAGTATCACAATAGCAAAGACAACACTTTCTTTTTTGAGGTAGACTCTAATAAAATTGTACTGATATAAAAATAAATGCATTTTAATGAATTCGCTATCTGCAATTATAATATGGGCTTTGCTCCTTCCTTTAGGCCTACAGCTGTCACTTTGCCTTTAGGGTGATCCACACAGTGAAGAAATAATCCAAATTCCAAAGCTTTCCTTTTATTAAAAAAAATACCTGAAAATATTATAAAGACACAAGACTTGTACACCTCTGGCATAATTAAACTTTTTCACCTCTTCAGACTCCTAAAAATATAGGAATATGGTTATAAAGATCCTCCAAATCCAGAGATTGTATTTGTGTGTTTTGTCAGTGGTTACACACCTAAAGTAGCTTTCAAAATTTGTCTACCATGGAAATCAAAATTCCTGACACAGTATGTTACTATAAAAAGAAAGATCCAGTTGGTTTTTAGCAAAGCTTTTTGCCATTACTAATTTTTTTGCACAGAGAAAACTTCAATAAGTTTGAGGAACTTCAGTTTGCAAAACACTGACAGTGATGAAGCAGTGGATTTGTACTCTGCTAATCCTGTTAGGGCTGCCAGAAATCTTTGATATCATTGATAAAATAGACTGCTGTGATTTTCCTTCCACACTAGAAATGGATAATTTCTCTTTTTTTCTCCTAGTCCTGTTTGTATATATAAGAAAAATGGACAAGCAGGAGGGAGGACTTTGGCATTCATGTGCTGGAAGTGTCCATATTTGCGCTTGTTTTTAAAACAAGTTTTCAATGTTTTAGTGTCAATACCTGCTCATTAATTATCTTGGTACTCCTAATTTTATGGATTCAGGTAAACCACTTTCAGTTGAATTTAAACAGAAATGCAGTAATAATTATTGCAAATTGTAATAAAGGAACACTGAGACCTCTAGATCACTTTAAACTATTCGCTGGATACTTTTTTCGTGTCAGGAGTGACTTGAGAAACTGCAAGTCACTTCTGGTGCGAGAGAATTGGCTGTCTGCAAGAATGTTGCCCAGGGGACACCCGGATGTTTTACCATCCTATGGAGGCTTTTCTCATGACCCCCCTGAGAAGCTGGAGCCGACAGACAGGAGCTCACCCTCCTCCCTGGGATTCGAACCGCCGATCTTTCAGTCAGCAATTCTGCCAGCACAAGGGTTTGATCCATTGTACCACCGGGGGCTCCTCCCTGGATACTACACTGCCTGGACTATCATGCTATAGCTCAGCATAGTTTTCACTGTTTGTTTCAGGCCTTGCTCCTAAGTTTGGCCAGATGACTGCACGATGCAGGATCCATAATTATTGCATCAAAGAAATATTACAAGGGTCATACATTAAAGCACACATCATTTGTGAATTATATGGATTTCTGAGCCTTATTTCAAGTTCTTAATCTCAGGCCCCTTCTACACTGCCATATAATCCAGATTATTAAATCAGATAATACACATAATCTGCTTTGAACTGGATTATATGAGTCTACAGTTCCAAATAATCCAGTTCAAAGTAGATAATCTGGATTTTATATGGCAGTGTAGAAAGGGCCCCAGGCTGGATCTACATTGCCATGTATCCCTGGATTTGATCCCAGATTATATTATTTTCCCAGATTATCTGGCAGTGTAGATCCAGCCTCAGGTTCAGTAGCCTGGCTCTGTCTCCTTTATTTCTTCTTAAGGCCACTATAATAATTTCTAATCCTAAATTCTCCGTTTTTATCACCTATACACAAATACATACATGCAAGATGTTGATGGTTCACCTACAAAAAAATCTGAACACTCTTATTAGTAAGAGGTTTAGATACTGCAAGACCTAGCAGAAAGCCCTTTTAAAATATTTCTAATGTAAAAATGCTCCAAAAGACATGCTCATTCATCTTCATTCATATAGGCAGCTTGCACTGTTTAGAGCAAATATAATTAAAATATTTGTTTCAAGACCTATGGCTTGGTGGAAGTGTGTGTTTATGCAATATTGCTGGGAATGATTTACGCTTCAGACTCGTTAAGAACACAACTGGAAGGAAGCTGTGTGCTTCAATGTACACATCAGTTTCCCATCAGATACATTCTGAGGTTCTATTTCAAACAAAACTAAAATGTACAAATTGTTCAGAGATTGTGTTCATTTGTCACATTAACTATACCCACATTTAACCATGGCAGAGAGTTGCTTTTAATTTTTATTAATAGAAAAAATAACAACAGTTTTGTTTGTTAGTTTTCAGAACATTTGCCTTCAACACCAAACAAAATCTGAAACACGTGTTCACTCTGATGTGCCTTCAGAAACTCTAGGAACTGACCCAGGTCCATGTGATAGTCATTCCTCAGTCCATAATCACCATGGGCTTGAAATTGCAAATCTTCAAAAGATTGGAAGAGTCGTAGATCGTCCACATTTGCCTCGGTCTCCCCACTTTCAACATGTTTGCAGGAAATGTGTTTCCAGTTGGGATATCTAACATCATGCCAAAACTCTTCACAGTTTTCTTTGATACCCTCCACACAAATGATCCCAGGCTTCCCAGTTAGACAGAAACCAGTCAAGTTTAATTTCTTGGCACAGTCAAATATCTTTTTCCTTAGTTCTTGTCTATATATGTGGTGGCTGTAAATCCACATCCGGTTAAATAATGATTTAACTGTTTTTGCATCTGGAACACTTTCAGAGGAGAGTTTGCTGTTTTGTATATACGAAATGCTGTTGTCTTGCAACCACTGAACTGCTGTGTATATGCAAAGTTCTCCTAGATCTAAGGAAGTAATATAAGAAGTGAGATCCTGATTGAGCTGAAATTGTTGCTGCCTATCTAGCGCATCCGATCTTGCAAAAAGCTGTGGTGCCATATAGGGGTAGTCATGAGGTAAAGTAACTTGCAAATTCACTTTTACCTACAAATAGATAAGAAAAATATTACAATTCAGAGTGTTATTTTTGTTTGGTAACTGGGCAGTTTTGTGAGTTATGCCTGACTCATTACACTCATACAGAGGGAGATAGTATATGAGTACAGTTGGTCATGTCTACTTCTGCTTAATTGTTTCTGACTTTAATTTGTGAACCTTTGGGTTCCAATTGATTCCTGTTGCCTGACCACTCAGACTGATGCCTGACCACTCAGAATTAAAAGTACACACCTGGGTTGCTGTGAGTTTTCCGAGCTGTATGGTGACGTTCCAGAAGCATTCTCTCCTGCGATTTCCCAGGCAGGAAGCAGCCAGGCTTTGAAGCTGAAAGGCTTCAAACTTTCACACTTACCTTAAGAAACAGACAAGGGCTCTTTCTCTTACCCTGAATATTCCACAGATGTATAAATCTCACATGCCTAGTTTCCAAAAGACTTCATAACCTCTGAGGATGTGGGCAAAACGTCAGTAGAGAATGCTTCTGGAACATGGCCATATAGCTTGGAAAACTCACAGCAACCTAGTGATTCCGGCCATGAAAGCCCTTGACAACACAGTACTCACAGTTCTTATAACCTCTGAGGATGCCTGCCATAGATGCAGGTGAAATGTCAGTAGAAAATGCTTCTGGAACATGGCCATACAGCCTGAAAACTTACAGCAACCCAAAACATCTTTGCGTACTATGACCTCAAATGTCAAGGGAAGGAGGGCCTTTGGTGGCTCCTCATTAGTGGGGTCATAGTTATCTGTGGAAGTGGAAGTACCAGCCACATATATATATACATTCACTTTTATCATGGATATAGATATATAGATAACCCCAGATATAATGCATCTGAGCAGACATGGGCAAACCTAGGCCCTCCAGGTGTTTTGGACTCCAACTCCCACAATTCCTAACAGCCTACCAGCCTACCTGCTGGAGTCCAAAACACCTGGAGGTCAAAGTTTGCCTATGCCTGCATTATCTAACCATGAAGTATGGATGACTGAGACCTGAATCTGCTCTGGAGAGGCAACATAATGTATTGGTTCAAATCACTGAATGACTGGGCTGTGGTGCAGCTAGTTAGTAGCCAGCTGCATTCAATCACTACTGACCGAGATGTCATGAGGAAGCCAGCCCGGGTGGGAGTGAGCTCCCAACCATTAATAGTCTAGCTTGCTGTTGACCTATGCAGCCTGAAAGACAGTTGCACCTGTCAAGTAGGAAATTTAGGTACTGCTTTATGCAGGGAGGATAATTTATTTATCCTCCCTGCATAACTAATTTATGACACTATAAAACCTTCCAGCAGCATGCGTAAGAATGAGGAAGTACCCCATCAAGGACTTGGTGTCCCAAGTGGACGGTGAAGTGGCAGCTCCCCCTGTGGCCAGAATCAAGCATACTCTCATGAAGACGGAAAGCTGGAATGTTAAATTACGTCTGTGTTTGTCTATATATGATATATATGTCTAAGTGGCAATGAATGTTTGCCGTGTATATGTGCATTGTAATCATCCCTGAGTGCTCTGCAGGGTGAGAAGGGCGAAATAGAAATGCTGTAAATAAATAAATATTTTTTGAAGACAGGCCAGGTGTCACAACTCCTTAGTATCAAGTGAAATCATTAGATTTCCTTTTTTAAAAAAGCCCTATTTATTTATTTACGACATTTATATGCTGCCCTTCTCACCCCAAAGGGGACTCAGAGTAGCTTACAAGTAATATGTAAATACAATATATTATATTATTACAATAGCAAAAATTAGTATTATACATTATTATAATGTACTATACCATTATACTGCAATATTATTAGTAACTAGCCATCCCCTGCCACGTGTTGCTGTGGCTCAGTCTGTGTATATGTGCTTTGTGTATATATTTTTGTATATGTGTGTTTGCGTATATATATGTGTGGTTTTCCACATGGGTTGTAATGTATTTTTTGGTTTTTTTACGTCTCTTCTGCTGTGCTTTTCCGTGTTTTTATGAGTGATGGTCACTTATTGGCTTGACAGGTGTATTGTGTCCAAATTTGGTGTCAATTCATCCAGTGATTTTTAAGTTATGTTAATCCCACAAACTAACATTACATTTTTATTTATATAGATATCACACATAATATAAAATATATAATTATAATATCGCATTATTATCAGTATCATATTGTATCACACTATATTATTATCAGTATTATATATGGAAGACAGATAGTCTCACCTGTGGTGCGTCAATAGTAACGGAAACTGAATATTCAATAACGTGTGGGGTGTTTTGATCTTCTGTATTGTTCAAATATTTCTGAATGTTACTGAAAGTATGTTCATCGTGAAGAGTGATTTCTCCTTTATGAGGAAACATGGAAAAAAGCATTTCTAGTTCGGTCATCTGAAGCTGAATCCTTTCTTTTATGGCACTGGACATTGCTACAGATGGGAAGCCACCTGCAGAACAAAAGGAACAAAAAGAACATGTTATGCCTTGTTAAGAGTCCAAAATATACTGTGAAGTTATTGACAAATTTGGACTGGACAGGAAAATATACCTAGATAGATAGATAGATATAGATAATATATAATATATTATCTATATCTATAATATATAATAGTATATTATATATAATATATATATATTATACAATATATAATAATATATTATAGATATAGATGTATTATATATATATATATATATATATATATATATATATATATATAATGAAACCCCATTATTTTTCTTTCTTTGAGTTCACTTTGAGTTCTAAGGAGTTCAAAGAGGGGAGGGGCGTTTCTGCATGTCAACCAATCAACTCTGCAAACCCTGTCGCGAGCCCGAGGGTCACCGACAGACGCGATTGGTTTGTCCGCTTTTGTGGAACGCGCTCTCATTGGAGGTGGAGAAATATATATATATCGGGGCATCCTTTCCCCCTCCACATACCTCGCAGGAGACTCGCCGCAGGCGCCTCCTGCTCTCCTTGAGCTTCTCAAAGCCACGCCCACTACAATGCTGGCCCCGCCCCCAGCTGACGTGTCACACGCTTCCTTCCAGGACAGCTGATTTGGTGACGCATGTGCACTAGGCGACGTGCTGGTTTGAGAGAGAAAACCGTGATTCTGTTCAAGCCATGGTTCCAAGTGATGTCAAGCTGCGTCAGTGTTACAGTGTGTATGCACCTATATGTATCTATATATCTTCACACACACACACATGTACGTTCCTTTGCCTGCATGTAGGTGTATGTGTTCACACAAGAGTCCCACTGACTCATCACACTAGAGAAGGCATGGGCAAATGTGGTCCCTTTAGGTGTTTTGGACTTCAACTCCCACACTTCCTAGCCTGAGGCCCTTCCCCCCCCCCCCCTCAGCCGCTTAAGCTGGGGTGTTTTGGACCCACACTTGCTGGCTTCAGGCCCTTTCCTTTTCCCCCTGAGGGACTTAAGCTGAGGTGTGTTGGACTTCAACACCCACAATTCCTGGCCTCTTCTGGAGCGAGAGAATCAGCCGTCTATCCATGTTCAACATCTACACAAATGACCAGCCACTGCCAGAAGGGACAGAGAGTTTCATCTATGCTGATGATCGTGCCATTACTGCTCAAGCAGGGAGCTTTGAGATGGTTGAAAAGAAGCTCTCCGAAGCTCTAGGTGCTCTTACTGCCTATTACAGGGAAAACCAACTGATCCCTAATCCATCTAAAACACAGACATGTGCTTTTCACCTTAATAACAGACAAGCATCCCGAGCTCTGAGGATTACCTGGGAAGGAATCCCACTGGAGCATTGCAGCGCACCCAAATACCTGGGAGTCACTCTGGACCGTGCTCTGACCTACAAGAAGCACTGCCTGAACATCAAACAAAAAGTGGGCTAGAAACAACATCATACGAAAGCTGACTGGCACAACCTGGGGATCACAACCAGACACTGTGAAGACATCTGCCCTTGTGTTTTGCTACTCTACTGCTGAATATGCATGCCCAGTGTGGAACACATCTCACCACACTAAAACAGTGGATGTGGCTCTTAATGAGACATGCCGCATTATCACAGGGTGTCTGCGCCCTACACCACTGGAGAAATTACACTGCTTAGCCGGCATTGCACCACCTGACATCCGCCAGGAAGTAGCAGCCAATAGTGAAAGGACCAAGGCAGAGACATCTCCAGCTCATCCTGTTTGGGTATGAGCCAGCATGCCAATAACTTAAATCAAGAAATAGTTTTCTAAGATCTACAAAGACACTCGCTGGAACACCTCAGCAAGCGAGAGTCCAAAAGTGGCAGGCTCAAACCCAGAACCTCAACCAATGGCTGATACCAAATGAGAGACTCCCCCCTGGGCACACAGAAGACTGGGTGACTTGGAAGGCGCTGAACAGACTGCGCTCTGGCACCACGAGATGCAGAACCAACCTCAAGAAATGGGGCTACAAAGTGGAATCCATGACATGCGAGTGCGGAGAAGAGCAAACCACTGACCACCTGCTGCAATGCAACCTGAGCCCTGCCACATGCACAATGGAGGACCTCCTTGCGGCAACACCAGAGGCACTCCCTAAACTACAAAGCTCAGAATTCTGCAGGAAGCAGATTTAAAGTGGATTCATTCTCCAGTGTGCATCTATATCTATATGCAGTTTTGACACCACTTCAACTGCCATGGCTTTGATGCCTTCTCAGGAGATGTAGTTTCCCAAGGTCTTTTTAGCCTTCTCTGTCAAGGACTGGTGCCTCACCAAGCTACAGATCCCAGGATCCCATATAGTATGGACCATTGCAGCTGAAGTGGAATCAAGCCGCATTCGTTCCCCAGTGCAGACGCAGTCCCATGACTCTAGAAACCATGGGCAAGGCCTACTCTCTCAGCCTCAAAGGAAACCCCACGACAACAATGACTTTTCTCTTCTGTACCTTCTCCTCCTTGGAGCTGAGCTACTAAACGGATGCAGCTGCCGCACCCAGGAGTCAATGAGTGAGGGTGCCGATGTGGAACGCCTGGGCAACAGCCACGCCCTCGGTCTAAATCCGCGCTCTGATTGGTACAGCCGCGTTCCATGACCACGCCTCCCCGGCTTCTCCGCGCTCTCATTGGCTCAGACGCGAAGGCGTCTTGAGCCCGCGCCTCTGATCCCGGAAGGGCGCTTGGGAGGTTCCTTGTTAGCAGCAGCAGAAGCCACATCCACCAAGGTGAGTTTGCTCACAGAAAGCCAAATATTCGCTGTATTTATTCCTCCGTGATTTTCCTACCAGCTTCTTCGAGGTAGGATACTATGAGGAAGCAGAGTGTGTTTTCAAAGGGTTGCCTCCACACACTACAATTAGTGCAGTTTGATACCACATTAACTGCTTTACCTCAATGCAAGGGAACTGAGGGATTTGTAGTTTTACAACGTCTTTCGCCTTCTCTTCCAAAGGGTGCTAGTGATTTTATGATTGCTAATTCTAACAATGGATTGCACTATGTAATAACATTTGGAAAAAAAACCCTATTTTCCTCTTCTAGTACTGACAACAGTATTATTTATTTGCAACATTTATATGCTGCCCTTCTTACTCCGAAGGGGACTCAGAGCGGCTTACAAGTTATACGTAAATACAATATATTATATTATTAGGTAAAGGTGCTCATCTTCATTTGTGAGCCAAAGAGCTGGCATTGTCCATAGACACCTTCAAGGTCATGTGGCCAGCATGACTGCATGGAGCACCATTACCTTCCCACCAGAGCGGTACCTATTGATCTACTCACATTTGCATGTTCTTGAATTGCTATATTATTAGCATAGCACAATATTAGTATTTATTTATTATTTATTTACTATATTTGTATACCGTCGTATTAGTATTTATTTATTATTTATTTACTATATTTGTATACCGTCATATTAGTATTTATTTATTATTTATTTACTATATTTGTATACTGTCATATTAGTATTTATTTATTATTTATTTACTATATTTATATACTGTCATATTAGTATTTATTTATTATTTATTTACTATATTTGTATACCGTCCTTCTCAGCCCATAGGCGACTCAGGATGGTTTACAGAGGCAGAAATTCAATGCTCACGTCACCATAAAAGCATTTAAAAATATTAACATATAATATAAAATCACAGCAAATCAATAAAACATAGATCATTTACTTCTCTTAGTTAAAAACATTGTCCTGTACCATACATTCCCATAACAGTAGCATAACTTTGTTTTCTTTCTTACAGAAATGGACTTCAAGGCAGTTGCAAACTACTCAAGGCTCCATGCCAAGCCTCCGGGCGTGTCCCTTCAGTACGGCACCGCCGGCTTCCGGACCAAGGCAGAAGACCTGGACCACACCATGTTCTGCATGGGCTTACTGGCAGTGCTGAGGTCCAAGCAGACCAAGTCTACCATTGGCATCATGGTCACCGCCTCTCACAATCCCGAAGTAAGAGAAATTAGCATATCTGGTAAAGGAGAAAGAGGGAAGAACAGCAGAAAGTAGATGGGCATCTACACCAGGCACAGGCAAAATTCCAGGTGTTTTGGACTTCAACTCTGAGAAATTTCAGCTAGCTTACTTGCTGTTAGGAATTGTGGGAGATTAAGTCCAAAACACCTGCAGAGCCAAAGTTTGCCCATGTCTGGTCTACACCATAGAACAGTAGTTCTCAACCTGTGTGTCCCCAGGTGTTTTGGTGTACAACTCCCAGAAATCCCAGTCAGTTTACCAGCTGTTAAGATTTCTGTGAGTTGAAGGCCAAAACACCTGGGGACCCACAGGTTGAGAACCACTGCAGCTGGACACCACTTTAGCTACAATGGCTTAAAGTTATGGAATCCTGGGAGTTGTAGTTTGGCACTAGCACTGTTTGGCAAAGAGGGCCACAACTCTTGTAAAACTGCAACTCCATAGCTTTAAGCCATGGCAGTTAAAGTGGTGTCAAAACTGCATTATTTCTACAGGTTAGATGTACCTTACTTGAGGAACACACCCAGATCTTTCATGATGCTATGTTGTCTTGTTTCAAGGAAGACAATGGCGTGAAGCTGATTGACCCTTTGGGGGAAATGTTGACAGCCACATGGGAGGCGCATGCCACTCGCTTGGCCAATGCGGAGGAGGAGGAGCTGCAGGCGGTGCTGACGGACATCTGCCAGAAGGAAGGAGTAGACCTTCAACACAGTGCTTTTTTGGTTATCGGCAGAGACACCAGGTAAAACTATACGCCTCTCAGGGAACAAGAAACAACACCAGAATTTGCAAGTGTTGCTTTTTAAGGCCACAACTTCAAAAATAAACCCTATCGGAAATGATTCTCAGAATTGTAGTTCAAAAGAAGTAACTGTTTCTAAACTCTTTTGGAAGGACCCATTCACTTGTGCCATTTTCATGGAAGATCAGTGTACCACTTTGTAAGTGCTTCCACTGGAGAATCATTGGGAAAGTTTATCCAAGGTCTGTATATGTATATTCAAGCTACATGGAGTGTGCTACTAGTACTGCTGCTGCTACTACACTTCCTAGTTGGCTATTTAGCATCTAAAGGCCCTTCCACGTAGCCCTATATCCCAGAATATCAAGGCAGAAAATCCCAGAATATCTGCTTTGAACTGGGTTATCTGAGTCCATACTCAGATAATGTGGGATTTCCTGCCTTGATATTCTGGCATATAGGGCTGTGTGGAAGGGTCCTTAACCAGAGCTTTCCATACTGTGTGTTGCGACACACTAGTGTGCCAGCTACATCGTGTAGGTGTGTCATGCAAATGTAATGAGAAATTACAAAAGTCTTAGAAATGTATGTTATCTCACAAATCACATATTTTTAAAAATATGAATGAAAGGTTTTTATTAGATATGTTGTGTCCCCATGCATTTAGTTAGTACAATTTGTATGTATGTGTCCATATCTCTGGTTTGCTAGTACAATTGAATTACTGTATTGCAAAATGATGAGTGTCTGAAAAGTGTGCCACTAACATAGAAAAGGGTCCCTTGATGGTGCAGCAGGTTAAGCTGCACCACGAAGCTGCTGAGCTGCTGAACTTGCTGACCAAAAGGTTGGCCGTTCGAATCCGGGGAGCGGGGTGAACTCCCGCTGTTAGGCCCAGCTTCTGCTAACCTAGCAGCTCAAAAACATGCAAATATGAATAGATCAATAGGTACCACTTCTGCAAAAAGGTAATGGCACTCCATGCAGTAATGACCTTGGACAACGCCCCGCTCTTCGGCCTAGAAATGGAGATGAGCACCAACCCCCAGAGTTGGACACGACTAGACTTACTGTCAATGGGAAACCTTTACTAACATGGAAAAGTTTGGAAAGCTCTGTTCTAACAAAAGAGAATCCATCGCCTTAGGAGGAAGTGGATTGCACTGTTGGAACAGTTCTTGTGCCATAACAAAGTTCTTCCTGATACTTGTCCTAAATTCCTTCTTCTTGTAAATAGTGGTTCTCACCCTTTGGTTTTCCAGGTGTTTTGGATTTCAACTCCCAGAAATTCCAGCCAGTTTACCAGCTGTTAGGAACTGTGAGACCTAAAGTCCAAAACACCTGGAGGATCAAAGGTTGGGAAGAACTGTTGTAAATTGAATCAGTTAGTAAACTAAGCCCTTCCCTTAAAGCAACATAAAAGAAATGTGCTTCCTCGTCTGCAATAGCCCTTGTGTTGTCTCTGATTGATTTCTTCAGAAGGGTGAAGAGCCCCTTTGCCTGTTCTGTATATGACTTGGGGCCCTTCCACACAGCCATATAACCCAGAATATCAAGGCAGCTAATCCACAATATCTGCTTTGAACTGGATTATCTGAGTCCACACTGCCATGTAATCTAGTTCAATGCGGATTTTATACCGCTGTGGGAAAGGGGCCTTAGTCTTGGTTTAGTGTGGGACTGATGAGGCAGCTATTTGATGGAGAATAAGCTGGGGCTGGTCAAGTATCCAGACAGCTTGGGAATCCTGCATTAACCATTGGTGGTGAGAAGGTCTGATATAATCATACTTCATAGATAAGTTCATAATATCACATAGCATAGATTGAACTGTTTAAGCTTTGATAGAAGTGGCTTTCATTTATTTTAGATTAGATGTGGTTTCACGTGTTCGTAGTAGTTAATTGCCCAGTACTTCTCTAACTCCTTGGCTGCTAGAATCGTTCTTCCTCCAGAGAAGATTTCCTTGAGCTTGCATCTTCAGGTTAAGGATTATGCCGTATATGATGTTATCATCTGTCAGTATTTGGTTGCTGGCAATTAATTGGAGTGAGCTTGTGAGTTTGTATTACATTTCAACAATTATCTCTTTATTTCTATGTTTGTATCCAGATCTAGCAGCAAGAAGCTTTCACAGTCAGTAATTGATGGTGTGTCTGTCCTTGGAGGTCAATACCATGGTATGCACTTCCCATATTGTTTGCTTTTCTAAACATCAGTAATATTTTATTCTAGATTTGGCCCTCCACATTCGCGTGTTTTACTTTTGTGGATTTGATTGAAATGCTCTCTCGAGATCTCTTGATCTTCCAGTGTAATTCTGTGACCAGGTTCCAGCAACAGTTGATCATAGGGTTGTGCTGAAGGACCCTATGATCAACTGTGTGTTCTCAAGTAAAAAAAAAAAGTTGCAGGAGTTTTTTATTCACATTTTTTCACTTTGACAGGGTTGTAACCCCAGCAATTGTTGGAGGGAGTGACTATGTAGCTCTTGACTGAAATTCAGTGAGGTGGGATCATAGAATCATAGATTATTAGAGTTGGAAGAGACCACATGGGCCATCGAGTCCAACCCCTGCCATGCAGGAAAAGCACAATCAAAGTATCCTTGACAAATGACCATTCAGCCTCTGTTTAAAAAACTACAAGGAAGGAACTTCCACCAGACTCTGAGGCAGAGAGTTCCACTGCTGAACAACTCTCACAGTCAGAAAGTATTTCCTAATGTTCAGGTGGAATCTCCTTTTCTGTAATTTGAACCCATTGCTCCAACTCCTAGTTTCCACAGCAGCAGAAAACAAGCTGCTCCCTCTTCCATGACAGGCATGCATTCTTAATAGCTCCATGAGAGAATGCATGTTTTTGTTTATTTATTTATTTACAGTATTTATATTCCTCCCTTCTCACCAGGGGACTCAGGGCAGATTACAATCCACATATACATGGAAACATCCAATGTCACAGACCTACAACATATATAGACAGACATACAGGCAATTTAACATTCCACCTTTTCCAGCTTCATGAGGATATACTTGATTTCGGCCACAGGGGGAGCTGTCACTTCACTGTCCACTTGTGATACTGAGTCCTTGATGGAGTACTTCCTCATTCTTATGCACGCTGCTGGAAGGTTTTATGGTGTCATAAATTATTTAAATTAGCCTCCCCGCAAAGCGGTACATAAATTTCCTATTTGGCAGATGCAACTCTTTCAGGCTGCATAGGTCAACAGTGAGCTAGACTATTAATGGTCGAGAGCTTACTCCAGCCCAGGCTGGCTTCGAACTCATGACCTCTCGGTCAGTAGTGATTTCCATGCAAAATAATGGTTTCCCCACATTGCCTGGTTGAGTCTCTTTAGGGTTTCTGGCAAAACAGTATAAATCAAGGATAGGAATCATGCAACCCTCTATATTTTTGTTGACAGTAGCTCCCAGCATAACTTACTATTGACTATCTAGCCAGTGCTGATGGGATTGTAATCCTGCCCCTTTCCATAAGACTGCAGTCCCATCCCATGAGTCTCACCCCAATAATACCGGACTAAATGAACAATGTCAGTGATGTCCAACTTGTGGAACTCCAGCTGTTTGGGCCTCCAACTCCCATGTACCCTGCCAACTTGTCCAGTGGTAAGAAATTCTGGGAACCGAAGTCCAAAACACCTAGAGTACCAAAGCTATAAGATCTAACTGTAAGGTAGCATTCCTGTTTTTATGAAAACACATACTTTTGTGATTTTCCCCCCGATTGTCTTTAGTGCTCCAAAATGTGTTTCTGAAATGGAGTTTCATCCTTCCTTGACCAATGTGATTTTTTTAAAACCAGACTACGGCTTAGTAACCACGCCTCAGCTCCACTACATAGTTTGCTGTCGGAATACTCATGGAAACTATGGGACTGCAACAGTGGAAGGATACTATCAAAAACTCTCTAAGGCTTTTGTGGAGCTTACGAAACAGGTGAGAGGCTTCCTTTGCCTACACAAGTCCTGGTTTGTGTTTTTAGGATTGTTTACTTACACATTGTTAAAGGAGTGCCTCTTTACATAGTAACCTCCCATGAAGAGACATCGGCAATCTTCTTTGTGTTGCAACTCTCCTGAAAGGTCTGGACACATATTCAGATGTAGCTGTGTTGGCCTTGCAACAAATTATAATACAGTTCAAAACCCACAAAGCAGTTAGAACTTTATTGAAACAGAAAAGAGATCCCTCAATGCCGTCTTTCTTGAGAACAGAGTAACATCTGAGGCTCCTTCCACACAGCTGTGTAAAATACACATTGAACTGGATTATATGGCAGTGTGGATTTGGATAATCCAGTTCAAACCAGATATTGAGGATCATCTGCCTTGATATTCTGGGGGGTCTTCCATACAGTCCTATATCCCAGAATATCAAGGCAGAAAATCCCACATTATCGGATTTTGGACTCAGATAACCCAGTTCAAAGCAGACATTGTGGGATTTTCTGCCTTGGTGTTCTGGGATATAGGGCTGTGTGGAAGGGCCCTGAGACAAAATGCAGGTCTGTGATTCCACCATTGTCACCTTCCTTCTCTTGAATTAATTTTAACATCTCTGATGTTGACCGAGTGAAGCTTCGAAAGCTTGCATGATGAATGTTATGCCTTGGAGTGGCCCAATAAAAGCATCACTGTTTTATGGGTTTGGGATTTTGATGTATTTTCTGGAAGTTCTGACACTATGAATGAACTGTGGGGCCTCTACAGTGGGAAATGCACATCCTAGGGTGTGTCTATACAGTAGAATTATCACAACTTGACATCATAGCATTGCTCAATGCTATGAAATCATGGGAGTTGTCGTTTGATAAGATAGCAGCCCTTTTGGTAGGGAAAGGCTAAAAGCCTTGTAAAACTACAACTAACATGAATCCAAGTAGTTATGTGATTATAAATCCAGTCTGTATTCTCATGGACACTGAGAAAAGACAGCGTTCACTTTTGAAGCCTCTTAGGTTGATGGAAAAAGTGTGCAGTTTCGAAGAAAGACATCAAGTTGGAAATAGCAAACTTCTCAAGCCCCCACTAGTTATTTTTATGCATATAATTCACATTTCTTACTGCATTGTAGAGGTGTATATTGGTTTGTTATTTTGGTATTCTGTGTGTTTGCACATTTGAGTGCTTTGTGAGCTGCCCCGAGTCCCTCTAGGAGATGATGGCAGGGTATAAATAAAGCTGGTGCTGCTGCCGCTGATGATAATGATGATTATTATTATTATTTGCAACCTTACTTAACTTCTTTGTTGTGGGAGGGGCTGCAGATCATGTGATCAGAACTGGACATGTTCAGGACTCTGACTCCATTTTAGAGAGAGTAGATGGCGTTAGACTCTTAGAGAGATTACAAGCCATCTGTAGGCTTTTAGAAGTCTCTGTGTTTACGTCAGAAGCAATGAGTACAGATTAGACTTCAATGCAGGAGCAGTATGCTTTTAGAGACTAGATGGAGACTCTGTTAGACTCTCAGAACAGAGAGATTCTTTGGACTATGGGCTGTTGATTCTGAGGAAGATGCCCAGTGTTACTACACAGAGAAACTAAAAATCCTATTGTAACCGAATTCTTAAGCAAAGTGCCTGTGTGCTGTATACATGAAGTTGTGTGAGTAAACCAACTATGTTACTTTTAAAGAAGACTGTTTATTTTGTCTCTTGAGAACATGATCTAAAGACAAAGGGAGAGTAGATGTTTTTGGGGCAACTAAAGGAACACTTCTGAAACTCTGCTGTATATTTTTCGAAAAGGTCATTTGACCAGTGGTTTTCCAAAAAGGTTATGAATTCTCATTTCCCAAATGGTTGTGGAGATTCACATTTCCCAAAACATCAGTGCTGAAATGCATTGGGCATATTGCAACTTCTGGTTTTTGATTATTATTATTTTAAAAAAAGTTTAGCATATCCTTTTTTCCCCATTTTTCTCCAAGTGAGCTTTCTTTCTTTCTCTGCTTTGGAAAACATGTATTGCTTATGAACAAATGGTGGAATTTTTAAAAATGACCTCTGAAGAACCTTATTTTGCTTTTTAAACAAAATCACTCACAGGCTACAAGCCACAGGGATGGGCACATGTGCCTGAAGATTGACTGTGCAAATGGCATTGGGGCTCTGAAGCTCAAAGAGATGCAATACTACCTCCCTGGGAGCCTCGTGATGCACATAGACAACGATGGGACTAAAGGGAGACTCAATCATCTCTGCGGAGCTGATTTTGTCAAAGTCCATCAGAAGCCTCCTGAAGGTATGCAATTAGAAGGGGATTGTCTTCTTGAATGATTCCTTCAAGCAGAAATTAAGTTTACCTAGTGATAATTTGAGGGATACTACACTTAAAAGAAAACATGAACACACTATGGCATTACTAATTCAAAAGGCTTTTCTTTCTGCTCACCAACATATTAAGTCTTAGAAGGCATTGGACATTAGGAGAGAAAGTGGTTTTTGATTTTATTGGTTTGCTACCAGTTCTTCTAGTAAGATTCCTGTCTTGGATAATGTCCGGCTATGATTGCCTTGCAGTTATTTCTTTATTTATTGTATCAGAAGCAAATTGAGAATACAGAAGCAAATTGAGAATGTATAGAAAAGCCACAAAGAAAGTTAAAAACTTGGCATTATGCTAGATTTCCTTTGACCAGAAGCTCGCCACTTGGGGTGCCTCTGGTGTTGCTGTGAGAAGGTCCTCCCCTATGCATGTGGCAGGGCTCAGGTGGCATTGGAGTAAGTGGTCTGTGGTTTGCTCTTTTCTGCACTCACGTGTCGTGGACTCCACTTTGTGGCCCCATTTCTTAAGGTTGGCCCTGCATCTCATGGTGCCAGAGCGCAGTCTGTTCAGTGCCTTCCAGTCGCCCAGTCTTCTGTGTGCCCAGAGGGGAGTCTCTCATACAGTATCAGTCATGGATTGAGGTTCTGGACTTTAGGCTGCCACTTCTGGACTTTTGCTTGCTGAGGTGTTCCTGCAAGTATCTCTGTAGATCTTAGAAAGCTGTTTCTTGATTTAAGATGTTGGCTTGCTGGCTGATATCCAAACAGGGGATGGGCCTGAGATGTCCATACCTTGCAGATAGGAACTTATTACATTCAGTGGTAGAATCTGTTGCAGCAAAAAGGGGAAAAATAACAAAAAGGTTTTGTTGCACTTTAGTTTGTTGGACTGATAACACTATGTCATAAAATTTGAAAAATGTTCTGTTTCTGGTTTGAAAGAGTTATTTCCTGTTTAATTGTGTTGTACTTATTTTGAAAGTAGTTGGTATACTCCAGAAATTGCATTCAAGTGTCTGCCAAAAACTATATTGAATTGGTCGAGACTCGATGAGACATTCATTAAAACAGTATAGCAAAATGTGCTGCAGGGTGTCTCGCTAAAACAAGAGACTTTTCCATATTTTATGATAGAAACAATCAAGAAATGACATTTATAACCTAGGAACAAAAATCGTGTTACATAGTGAAATGCAGGGTAAAATCAAGTCAGCCAATTTTATCCAGTGTTAGAGGCTGGAAGCCCCTGAAAGTTGTGTGAATGCCCAGGAGTGACTTTTGGCCCAGTCTGGGGTTTTTGCCCCATTCATGTTGGTCATAGACTCACTCTTTGCTTAATTAGCATTCTATCTGCTTGATAACGACTTTAGAATATATTAGTGGGGAAATTAAAACTAATTATTTGCACCATGTGGAAGCTGGTTAAAACTGACAACTTATTTCTAGCAATGTGTCCCATTATATTTAAGATGTAGCTCTGTCTGGATATATATATTTAATTTTGTTTGTTTTAGGATTTGAAATGAAGGCTGGTGAGAGATGTTGCTCCTTTGATGGCGATGCTGACCGAATAGTTTACTATTATAATGATGCTGCTGGCCATTTTCACCTGCTTGATGGAGACAAAATCGCAACTCTAATCAGTACTTTCCTTAAAGAACTTCTGGTCAAGGTAACTGGATTTCTTTAGGATTGGGGAGTTAATGTGTGGTTAAACATTGAATGGAATACTGATTGGAATATTGGCAGTACAATCAGTTATGCCCAGATATTGTACTTTTTTGGACAAACATTTGTTTGTCCAAAAGATTGATGAGAAAGCAACCATTTTAGTGTAATCACATTCCTCCCCTCTTGAAGTGACAAAAATGTACCAGGAGCTTTTTAGAAGACTCCATCTCTGACTGTGCAGGCACAGGAAATACCATATGTGCAATTTCACAGGGACAACGATGAAGAAATTGAGTATTTCTACGTATTCCTTACATTCCCTGGTGAATGGATATAATACTGTCTTTTGAAAGGCATATGGATTTCCCAAAAGCACAAAAAGTATAGTTAATGGGTCAGGCAGGAGAGTTTATCACATCTTTGACAGATTAACTTTCAAAGGTACAGATCTAAATCTGTTTGGGTCTGTAATTAATTAAATACTTGTTTCTCTTTGGCTTTACTTAGATTATTATGGTTATTGTACAGCTATGATTAATTTACTAGATCTCAGAAGAGAAAGAAAGCAAAGCAAGTACTAAAACCCACATGTTTTTGAAGGCAAATTATATTTAAATAGTTGTGAAAAAAGAAAAAAGTAATCTTCAAGCTTTGTGGATCATCATGGCAACGGCATGAGTCCTAAGATGATGCCCGTTGAAGGCAATGGACGCAAAAAGTATTCCCTCACTCGATGCAAATACAAATACAACGTTTTCAACTTTCTAATGTACATTATCTCAATATGTGAACAATCTCAGGTCCCATCTACACTGCCATATAATCCAGAATATCAAAGCAGATGATCCACATCATCTGATTTGAACTGGATTATATGAGTCTGCCATATAATCCAGTTCAAATTAGATCTGGAGTGTATATTTAGTACAGCAAAGCAGGTTAACCACCAGCTGCAATAAATCTTGCTAATCAAAAGGTTGGCAGTTCAAAGCCCAGGTCAGGGGTGAGTGTCCATCCTTCAGTCCAGCTCACTGCCCACCTAGCAAATTGAAAACAGCTGTGAGTAGATAAATAGGTACCACTTAATGCAGGGAGGTATTTTAATGGCACCTCAAGGAAATACCAGAAAAATGCTGGCTATTTGATCACAAAGGAGGAAGTCAGGTCTCTTTAGCATAGTGGTTGGAGCGAGAGCGCCTCCTGTGGTTGGAATTGAGCACAATCTCCAAGACGCTGAAAGATGGGAAAAGCCTAGATACCTCTATCCATGTACTGTGTCTCTCCTGTAAATGTATAACGGCATTGAATGTTTGCTGTATATGTGTTTTGTGATCTGCCCTGAGTCCCCTTCAGGGTTTTTCATGTCAGGAGCAACTTGAAAAACTGCAAGTCACTTCTGGTGTGAGAGAATTAGCCGTCTGCAAGGACGTTGTCCAGGGGACGCCCGGCTGTTTTGATGTTTTTTTACCATCCTTGTGGGAGGCTTCTCTCATGTCCCCGCATGGGGAGCTGGAGCTGACAGCAGGAGCTCATCAGCACTCTTCCCTGGATTCGAACCTCCAACCTGTCAATCTTCAGTCCTGCCGGCACAAGGGTTTAACCCATTGTGCCACCGGGGACTCCTCTCTTTGGGGTGACAATGGCAGAATACAAATGCAGTAAATAAATAAATATATGGCAGTATGGAAGGGTCTCAGAGCTGAATGCAGCCCACTTTCCACCCCGTTGCAAAAAGTGAGGTATTCGTAAACTGGAATATATAAATTTCCAAAGCCGAGCATCTGACTTCATATGGATGTGGAGGACAGATTGTGAAAATTGCATTTATTTGTTCCCTCCAGGCTGGACAAACAGTAACGTTTGCGGTAATACAAACAGCCTATGCCAATGGGAGCTCAACGCGTTATTTGGAAGAAACCATGAAGGTATGAAGCTATTTAACTGTTAAATGGTGTCATGTTACATGCCTTTGTGCTGAGGTGTCAATTAAAACCAACCCAAATCTTCTCATTTAGAGCTATTCAAAATTGCTGGGACATGACATACATACTGCAGAAAATACTATTTTCTACCCATAATAATTCATTTGTCAAAATCATGATGAATTCTGGCCCTCATAGTCAGAATACGAGGTTCCATTGATACTTTTTCCACTTAGAATGACCAACAATCTTGTGTTTTGAAGACATATTCCTTTGGGCTACTTTGCTGTGGTCACACAATTTATGGCCAAGCTTTAGTGGAGACATCTAGTCTCTTTGGCATTGAAGAGCACTTAGGAATGTGAGTGTCTCAGACAGTCAACATCCCAAATAGATCTCTGTGTCATGCTGCTTCTGAAGGACTAAGGAGAGTTGTTTCCATCATTGTTTGAGTCCAAAGTGCTCTCTGGATGTAGGTGAACTACAACTCAAGGTCAGTACCCACCAAACCCTTCCAGTATTTTCTGCTGGTCATGGGAGTTCTGTGTGCCAAGTTTAGTTCAATTTCATTGTTGGTGGAGTTAAGAATGCTCTTTGATTGTAGGTTAACTATAAATCCCAGCAACTGCAACTACAATGACAAAATCAATCCCCCCCCCCCAACCCCATATTGGGTATTTGTGCCAAATTTGATCCAGTGAATGAAAATGCACCCTGCATATCAGATATTCACATTACGATTCATAACAGTAGCACAATTACAGTTACGAAGTAGCAACGAAAATAATGTTATGGTTGGGGGTCACCACACATAAGGAACTGTATTAAGTGGTCACAGACTTAGGAAGGTTGAGAACCACTGCCTTAGACTGTCTTGTGTGTTCTTCCTGTCCTAGGTGCCTGTGCACTGTGGCAAAACTGGAGTGAAACACTTGCATCACAAAGCTCAGGAGTTTGACATTGGAGTTTATTTTGAAGCAAATGGTCATGGCACAGTAAGTGTGTGTTTTGAAATATTTCTTAATTGGAAGGTTTCTGGGGAGGTTTTCAAAAATGGGAATCAGCATGTAGTCGCAAGCATTGTGCTTGATATCTTTCAGTCATTCCATTCCCAAACTGAAAAATCCAAGTATATATCCAGCAGCATTCTAGCGCAGGCCTATCCATGGAACATATGCTATATGATGAGCACATGATGAGGCAGCTGATATATTTTCTCCCTTAGGGTCACCAGATGCATTATTTTTTTTCCCTTTCCAGGTATTGTTTAGTAAAGCTGCAGAAGAGAAGATACGGTATCAGGCAAAAGAGGAGAAAGACAACCTAAAAAGGGAAGCTGCAAAGATACTTGAAAACACAATCGACTTGATAAATCAGGTGGGAATCGTGGTGTATAATCACATATTTAAAGTTGCAGATCAACAACTTCGGAAAGATTGCATGATTTCCACTCTAAATACTTGACAAATGATGGTGTGTAACTTAAGGCCCCTGTAGTTCAGCGGGATTGCTCTATGTATGCCAAATAATAATAATAATAATTTCAGATGACAGCAGAATTGACAAGAAGCAACTGGAAAAGATGACATGATGCGAGGATTTAAAGATCGATGCAAAGACTCTGGCATAAGCCAGTAAAGGTAGTCCCAGTAGTGATCGGCACACCGGGTGCAGTGCCTAAAGAGCTTGGCCTTAAAAACAATCGATGGTGACAAAATTACCATATGTCAGCTGCAAAAGGCCATCCTACTTGGATCTGTCTGCATTATTTGCCGATACATTACAAAGTCCTAGACACTTAGGAAGTGTGCAATGTGTGATCCAATACAAAAGCCAGCATAATGATCTTGTTTGCTGTGTACTAATCCTGTTGTGTAGCTAATAATAATAATAATAATAATAATAATAATAATAATAATAATAATAAGTGGGATTGCACTATGTATGACTAAGTTGAGTTTTGGTAGAAATGCTTCCAATCAGCAGAACTAGGAAACTGTTCCCCCTCCATATGCCTTTTAGACTTGCGGGTGGGGGTGGGGGACTGGGGTTCTTTCTCGATCAGATTGTTAAGATGGATTGTGGGCAAGGAGAAAGCCCTCTCATTTGAATAAGATCTGCATCCAGATGTAACCTATAATAGATTCTACTTCTCAAAGATTATGAACTGGCATAATCTTTGAGATGTATGAGATCTAATCCTATTTTTGGTGCTAGACTGTGGATCCTGTCCAGCGTCCTCAAACCTCCCTTATTGATAAGCAGCCTCTTGGATCGACAGAAGTCCTTTCTCCTGTTGATCAAACAGCATCTTCCTGACTTCCTGACTTTCCCCTCCCTTTATATGAACAATCCCTAGTGTGAAAGGAGGTGCAAATCTCCCTCATCCACACAACTTCCAGTGCAAGGATGGGTGGGAATGTCATGCATCTAATTCTTGATCAACAGGACCCCCATTAATCCCAATGATTGTTTACCAGAAGTGGGTTTAGGAGACTTTCATGATCCCTACATTTCTCTAGGGCAGTGGTTCTCAACCTGTGTGTCCCCAGGTGTTTTGGCCTTCAACTCCCAGAAATCCTAACAGCTGGTAAACTGGCTGGGATTTCTGAGAGTTGTAGGCTAAAACACTTGGGGACCCACAGGTTGAGAACCACTGCCCTAGGGAATATGTAGGGGTTGTGAATATGTAGCAGTTACAAATATGTAACCTACCAGCTTCCTTTTAGTTTTCTTCTGAAATTTTGAAGATGTCGGAGAGTACAGCACTGGGGGAGAGTCTTATGTTAACTCATGGTTTTGCCAAACTGTTGGCTGTTCTTTTGACTTGAGTAAAATCCCACTGGTGCCAATAGCTTCTCCGCTAACTTTTGCTTGCTAATCTGTTGTGAAGAGTCTGCAGTAGAAAGATCTCTCCTGTTCCTTTAAAGAGAACAATTTTTAAAGAGTCAGCTGTAGGAACCTGAAAGTAACAAAACAGGAGAAAAGTGGTGTGTCAAAGTCTGACTTTCCATGATGGACAGCCAAGTGAACAAAAGGAGCTATGGTACTAAAAACAAACCAAAATTCCCCGTTTTTTGGATAGGTTTTCATTGTGATCAGAATTGGCTTTCCTAACTCAAGATGCATACTTCTTTAGTAAGTAACTCTAGTACAGTGGTTCTCAACCAGTGGATCCCCAGACGTTTTGGTTTTTAACTCCCAGAAATCCTAACAGCTGGTAAACTGGCTGGGATTTCTGAGGGTTGTAGGCCAAAACACCTGGAGACCCACAGGTTGAGAACCCCTGCTTTAGAAGAATAGCAAAGCCTGGATTTGGTTAGTTGATTATCCATTTTGTCTTGGTGAATAAATTGGGGGAAGAATCAAGACCACATGGGAAAGCCATTCATTATATTGGAAGCAAAAATCTTGCGAATTGAGACACGGGATGAGACTGCTGTTTTCCTGTTGCCAGAACATGGTCTCCTAACAGAGGCGGAGGGGTTTTTGATGAATTGTGGGAAGAAGTCTGCACATGCTTAAAGTGCTTTTATATGGAAATGAGTTCTTGTGTTGCAAAGAGGGGTCTGGGGCATTTGTTTTGTGTTTTTTGCCAGTTGAGAACTTTCCTGAGCTAAATCTTGAAAAGGTTTGCATCCAGATGTTTCCTGTTTGTACTTAAGATATCATGCCTTACTTGACACTTCCAGCTCCTTTGGGGCATTGCAGCAAAGAAATGGCAAACAAACTGGGTTTTGGACTGCACTCTTGGAGATATTTTTGTCCACCAGAAATGATGCCATGTTGTTGTGTTGCCAAAACCGTTTCCCTTGTGTCAATTTCCTACTGGGCAGTACATTTTGGCTTCACTTAATTGATGGATGTCCTAATTATTATCATTTTGGAAGGCAGCATTGAAATGATGACTACTGCACTCAAATAAGTACCCTAAACAGATTTCGGTTTTTGTATTGAGCTGGACCAGATCCAGCCCATCTCTATTATCCTGTGATGTGACGTAAAGGGAAGAGTATGGGAAACGTTTCTGTTCTTAGTTTTTGTTCATGCTTGACGAACTTTCTGTGATTTATTTGAAACAAGTCAGATCCAGATCATGGCATAAAAAGTTAGTTTGTTTCAGTGAGACGTAGTGAAGACAAATCATAGCTGGACGTTCAGATTAAACACTGAAGGAGGAGAAGAGAGAGGAGAAAATGAAGAATTTGTACCGTATTGTTACTATGAAAAGCTATGGCTTATCATGTCTTTGGAACTGTCCCTCTTACTCTTTTTACAAATCGAGACTTTTTATAATTTAAAAACCCAAATTTCCACAAGTGTAGGTTTGCAGACTGAATACTTGCAACAATAATTACAGGAAAGGAGATTCCACCTGAACATTAGGAATAACTTTCTGACTGTGGGAACTGTTCAGCAGAGGAACACTCTGGCTCAGAGGGTGGTCGAGGATCCTTCTTTGGAGACTTTTAAGTAGAGGCTGGATGGCCATCTGTCAGGGGTGCTTTGAATGTGATTTTCCCACTTCTTGGCAGGGGGTTGGCCTGGATGGTCCACGAGGTCTCTTCCAACTCTAGAGTTCTGTGATTCAGGAATATGCACTATTATTAGACCTTGAGTTTGCCTCCACCTCCTAGGATACTTTCTCACTTCCTCTCCTTTGTATGTCCTAGACGGTTGGTGATGCCATTTCCGACATGCTGCTGATAGAAGCCATTTTGGCTTTGAAGAACCTCACAATTTCACAGTGGGATGCCATGTACACGGATCTTCCTAACCGGCAACTCAAAGTTAAGGTAACAGAGAAGCAGACATCCAGACAGAAATGTCTCATGGTTGCAATCTTGTTTGTATGTAGATATACCATATATACTCAGGGCTGAAAAACCCGGCGTATACTTTTTTTTAGGCTGAAAAAGGCCCCCTCGCTTATAATCGAGTCAAGGTTATTTATTCTTTTACTCTGTTATTATTATTATTTTTATTACATTTATTATTTTATTCTATTATTATTTGAAGGAAACGTAAGCACATTTACACTGAAGAAAGTCAGAAAAATGGTTTAATCAGAGTTGGACAGTATTATCTTAAATTACACTTTTATGTAAATATTCAAAAACATTTAACCTACTGATGCCTCAATTCATGTAATTTTATTGGTATCTATTTTTATTTTGAAATTTACCAGTAGCTGCTGCATTTCCCACCCTCGCCTTATACTCGAGTCAATATTATTTCCCAGTTTTTTGTGGTAAAATTGGGTGCTTTGGCTTATATTCAGGTCGTCTTATACTCGAGTATATACGGTAATGCCATATTGACTGGCCAGTTATTGAGATGCCAGGGCGTGTGGTTGCCTTCTGTTGCCAAGAAGTGAATGGATCCTTTCTGGGATGAAGGAAACTAGGTCTTGGGTTCTTAGCATCTTCAGGCTTTCAGGGTTTCCCAACTGGGCTCAATAACATGTTGTTGACTAAGATCTGATCAGCATGATAGCAGCAGCATTATTGATGGGCATGCTTTCTTGAAAAGGGCAGTCAGTGACTTCACTGCACAAAATACTCTGGCTGGAAGAAAGGGAGTTAGCTCAGTAGAGAGATCCATAATTTGGTCTTGTTGTGATCTTCAAGAGTAATAAGTTTTCAGCCTGGATCCGAGTTAGAGCTTGAACAAGTCAGATTCTATGGCTTTGTTTTGCTTGGATCTGTAGGTTGCAGACAGACGAGTTATCGACACGACAGATGCAGAAAGGCAAGCGGTGACACCTCCAGGCCTGCAAGAAAAAATCGATGACCTTGTCAAGAAGTATCTGACGGCTCGAGCCTTTGTTCGCCCATCTGGGACAGAAGATGTCGTCAGAGTCTATGCCGAGGCAGATACGCAGGTCAGAGCACAAGTAATTCATAGCCTCACAGTGTATTGGAAGGATTTAGATGACTTCATTATAATTATAGCTAGCTTTTAAGAGAAGTTTGTCACTTTCCTGTGTCTTACACAGTTTATACAAGGAAGATCTCAGCAATTTAGGAAGTTTGGCCAAGCATAAGGCTCTGGCTGCAGGTTTATATTGGTCTTCCTCTCACGCTCCAGTGACACTCAGTGCAATAGGGCATCCACACAGTCAATGGCCACAATCCTGTTCATTCTGACTAGAGTAGATGTGTTGATACAATACACGTTACCTATACCCTGATGAATAGTTCTGTTGATTCAGTAGCCTTAGTCTAATTGGTGATAGCAAATGTGAAGATGAATAAGGAGCGTCACCATTCCCAGTGGTTGCCTCTTGTCTATGGAACTCCCTCCCCAGCGACATTAGATCAGCCCCCTCCTTCCTAGCCTTCAGAAGGAAAGTAAAAACCTGGCTCTGGGATCAGCACAGTGCAATAACAGACTTGAAAATTGTGGAATGACTATGGAACAGCTTCGGATTACGATTTCTGGTTGGTGCGATATTGGAGACAATGTTTTAAATGTTTAATATACATTTTAATTCAATTTATTTTAAGCTTAATGTTTGTGTGCATTTTTAAGACATTGAATACTTGCCAAATATAAAACATTATTATAGTTGAGTGTGAAGATGAATAGTGGGGCACCAGCAAGAATACCCCATGTGCATCAGTATACAATATGCATCTGGCACTTTGCTGGCCCATGTACATAGTCATATAACAGGAACCCACTACTGGATCTGGGTGTTATGAAATGGACCTATTCCAATTCCCATGTACATAAGTCCACTAAGGAAAGATTCCAACCATTGTTTCAGTGGGGTTTTTTGCATGTCAGTAAACAGGTCTGTTAAATACAGGTTGCAGTTGCAAAGGGACTGATGTGTAAACTAGAATTGCTTTGTGGGGAATGGGAGTTTTCTCCTTAGTTATTGTACGCAGGAAAGAAAAATGGCTCTTTTTGAAGTTGTGCTTGGAGGAAACCTCCTTAGGAGCAGTTATTTTGACATGTTTTGTCCTAGAAGCAAACCGAATGGCATTACATTGGAGAGCACTTTTAAAATAGTGAAGTAAAGCTTATATTAAAATGAATATCAGTAAATCAGAATATTAGTAAAGCTTATATTAAAACGAATGTCAGTTCGTATCCAGTTTTCTGGATACGAACTGACAAAAGAACTAGACTGTGGTTTTTTTGTAGGATTTTCTTGCATGGCAAGAAACATTGGTTTTCACTGATTCCAGTCTTTTCCTGTCCTCCTTTCTAGGAGCATGCTGATAACCTTGCTCATGAAGTCAGCCTGGTCGTCTACCATCTAGCTGGGGGTGTTGGAGAACCACCAAAGACTGCAGCTTCGTGAAGTGCCGATCTTCAAGCCAAACTGTTTTGACTTTTTTATTACTATTTCCCCTTTTTCTTGTTAAATCTTTCCTAGTTGAGAGTCGAGATTAAATTTTGATTAATAAAAATGAAGCAATATTAAAAGCATGTTGCTGTTTGTCTCACAGCATTGGGTCATTGTTATGTTCAGCTCTAAATATACTTAAGATGAAAGGATGCTTAAGGCTGATCATCACTGCCCATACAATTTATTCAAGGGAATCAATCTATTGTCCCCATTTTCATAGCTACTTCCTCTGTGAACTTCAGGTCCTTTGCAGAATTATAACGATGTCTTAAAGAAACCTGTTTTCCTTCCTCTTTAATTTGAATGTGTTCTGGCCAACAAATACCAAAATTTACATGTAGAAATATCTCTTATGACTAAGCAAAGCAGTTATTGTGATAGATACTAAAACATCAACAGTGCTAACAGAATGTTGTGAGTATCTAGAGTGAAAGACAATTTGTTGTTTATTCGTTCAGTCACTTCTGACATGGACCAGCCCACGCCAGAGCTCCCTCTTGGCCATGGCCAACCCCAGTTCTTTCAAAGTCAAGCCAGTCACTTCAAGGATATCATCCATCCATCTTGCCCTTGGTTGGCCCCTCTTCCTATTTACTTCCATTTTCCCCAGACAGTAGCTCTGAAATATTGAGAGCAGGGCTAGATCTTACACTGTAGAACACTGCTATTAAACGCATTTTCATCAAGAGCCACATCATCCTTATGGTTGCCTTCAAAGGGTTGATGAATCCATGGACAGAGAATCCATGGATATGAAAGGCAATCTATTATTTTTACATAGTGGTTAATGTTCTTTAGTTTTTACCCACTTTGGGTCCCCAGATGTTACTGAACAACAACTCCCATCACTTTTGATTATATCTGGAGATAATGGGAATCACAACCCAACAGCACTTGTTACCCTAAGGTTTGTGAAAGGTTAAAGGATATTTTAGTCAGACCTCATATCCTCAAGCCTTGTATCTAAATTCAAACTCCACTCTCCTGAATAAACGGAACAAAGTGCAGCTTTCCAGATGTTACTGTATCATAACTCCCATCAGCTCTAGTCATGTCTAATGATGACAACTGAAAGGCCACATAAAATGATGGATTCAGCCCATGAGCCTTGAGTTTGACACATGACATAGAGGGAAAGGGGTGTAAAATTTTGTGTTGGGAAATATGGCCAGCATCTGGTTAGTGACCTACTCAAGTCCTTTTCCTTAAAACAGCTTGTGATTCTCTTCCTTCCTCTACAACATGCCAGCACAACCTTCAGCCATCCAGGTGTTTGTGACTTCAGTTCCCAGAATTCCTGGCCATTGAACTTGCTGGCTAGTTCTTCTAGGAGTTGGAGGCCCAAACGTCTGGAGGACCCCAGGTGGTTGAGGCCTGCTGTACAATATCCAAAGCCTGGCTCAACTCAGCATTTAGGTGCTGTGTTTCTATGGCATCATCTGATGAAACCCACTCAGAGGTCTCAGTGGATGTATTTATTCTTCGTGGTTATAGAAGGATGCTTCTGACCCCTCCACAAGTCACTGTGCCGCAGCAGCTAAACAGTGAGTCCATAGGATTGAAATGAGAGATACAGGTCAAGACCCTTCATGGGAAACATCTCTCAATCCAATCTTCTAAAGGCCACATTAAAAACCAGGCAGCTTCAGAACCAGGAGTTTTGCAGCACTGGAAAGCAAGACTTTGAAAAATGATGGTATGCTAATTTAAGTTTCTTTTGGGGGCATTGGCAATAATGGCAATGGTGCCACAATTGCATGTGTGATACCTTGGTTTAGATACCTGCTTGAATTTTCACATGCATTAGTAGCCATGGCAATGATTTCGTCACAATTTTTTTGCTGACCAAATTTCTAATCAGTTTCTTCTGGCCATTGTTGTATAAGATCCTAAATGTTAAATACAGACACAATTAGAAAAAAATGTGCAACTTGTATTGTAGATTTTTAAAGACAGACTTCAAGATGACAAAAACCAAAAAAATGTACCATAAATATTAGAGGCACCATAATCAATATGAGCCGATGATATTTAAACTTGATTCAGGCCACATCCAGAACTTATTTACAGGTATTTAAATTAAATACATCCTGAAGTATACATTACATACAAAGTATGAAAAAGAAACTATACACTCTGGAAGGATGGAGTGGTTTCATTTGAAGATAAACTTTGTACAGAAGATAACTTTTGGCCACTTGAGAGCCTCATGTCTTTATGACCCCTTCCAGAAAGTCCTTTTCCACCATCTCTTCAATTTTCTGCCTCGCTTTGCTGGAGAATGTCTTTTGGTTCTCCATTTTCATGTCCTTGGTGGGGAAAGAGTTGGGGTAAAGCATGGGGCTCCCCGAATGGCCGATGCTTCTGCTGGTGACTTTGCTGTTGAAGACTTGGCTGAGGACATTAAAGAATGGCAGGAGCTGCTCAATGGTTCGGATGGCACAGAGGGTCAGGAGCAAGTGGCCTGGCTCCCAGTTTAAGGTTTTCCCTGAGCTGTCTTCTTCAGGATTTTTCTGTAAATACAAGGGCAAAGATCAAAGATTACATTTCACCAGTAGGAACTCTGTTGGATTGACATGCAGTTAATTCTGGTTACCAAAGCATCCATCCAATTCCAGCTAGTCAGGCCAAAGAAGCACAGTACGATTTTTGTTTTGTTTTGTTTTCAGTCTAACCCTAATCTGTCCAAATCTGTCCAACTATGATTTAAAAACTTTATTTTCAAGACAGAGCAAATATGGAGTTGATACAACAGAACAGCTGGTCCACTAGAATGTCTTATTTCAAAACAATGTAGATCTTGACATGTATCCTTAACTGAAACCTTCCCTTTGCAGCCTGAGCCAACTGAATAAAATGCACATAAACAGATGTCCCAAGTGCATTGCTCAGTGCTGAAAAAAATGATTGAAGAGGTTTGACTGAGGCCAATATCTTGTTAGCAATATATGAAGGAATAAATTGCCCTATACATGCTGAGTAAATTTTGTGCCATAATCAAACCCAACTGAAGGCAGTACAGTGAGATTCTGCATACACTATCACATTTAGTTCAAAGGAGTGCGCAAATGTACACAGTGCATTGCTCTGCCTAATGAGATGCCATCTAAGCTCATTGATCATTTGGCCACATATGTTGCTCTTCAGTAGGGGGCTGCTTTATTTGTAATAATAAGCATAATCTATCTCCACAGGCAGATATTTATGTTTCTTTATGCTACTATGGAGTCCCTGGTAGTACAGAAAGTTAAACCGCTGAGCTGAACGTGCTGACCAAAAGTTTGGTGATTCGCAACCAGGGAGTAGGGTGTGTTTCCACTGATAGGCCCGACTTCTGCCAACCTAAAAAGGTAAAGGTTTTTCCCTGACATTAAGTCCAGTCGTGTCCAACTCTGGGGGTTGGTGCTCATCTCCATTTCTAAGCTGAAGAGCCAGCATTGTCCATAGACACCTCCATGGTCATGTGGCCAGCATGACTGCCTGGAGTGCCGTTACCTTCCTGCCTATTGATCTACTCACATTTGCATGTTTTCAAACTGCTAGATTGACAGAAGCTGGGACTGACAGAGGAAGCTCATGTGGCTTCCCATATTCGAACCTGTGACATTTTGGTCAACAAGTTTAACAGCTCAGTGGTTTAACCCACTGCGCCACCGGGGGTTCCAACCTAGCAGTTCAAAAAAATACAAATGTGAGTAGATCTATAGGTATTGCTTCCTCAGGAAGGTAATGGAGCTCCGTGCAGTCATGCTTGTCACATGACCTTGGAGGTGTGTAAGGACAATGTCGGCTCTTCGGCTTAGAAATGGAGATGAGCACCAACCCCCAGAGTTGGACATGACTAGACTTAAAGTCACAAGAAACCTTTACCTTTACGTATGCTACTATGTATTCACTTAGGACAAAGTAAGTTGTGGGATGAATTCATTTCTTTGCTTCCCCCCCTGCCAGACTTATTAGAACTACTGAACTTTAACCTGGCTAATATTCGGTCATTTTGTTGGTGGAAGGAACACACACACATCCATTTACTGGATATGGGACTAAGAATATGATGATGTAAAATATGCACCACATAATCCAGTTTTCTGTAGGCATTTCAACAGTAGAGACAAAAATGCAACTACCTTTGCTCTTTTTCGAAGTAATTTGGCTAAGCGCACCACATATGGTTTGAATTCCCTTTGATGTGTGCCTTGCCTCCGTACTTCCAATCCTGAATCATCGGAGGCTTCTGGAATGAAGGCCCATCGATACCTGTGGAAGGAAGTGAGGCAAATTCACCACTGGGACACCCTTTCTGCTTTACTGCCAATGTTTATATGCAGGCATACATATCAAGGCATGTCTTCAATGGCTCCAATACACATACTGAACATACAAAGAAAAAATACCTAGATATGTAACTCATCTGTAATACAGAATACAATTTTAGCAAACTGGTTTACAATTACCACTTTTAAGTAGTAGCTTTATGAAGCTGACATTTGCCTTTCCACTTTCTCCACGCCCCTGACTGTACCTTTTATTAAATAATAGAGTGGGGCCTTTGCATTCGCTGGGGGTTGGGTCCAGGATCTCCCATAAAAATCCAGGGATGCTCAAATCCCCGCATATACAATACGTAAGTAGAATGACGTCCCTTATATAAAATGACAAAATCAAGGTTTATCTATTGGATTTTTAAAATGTGTTTTCAAGTTATTGATGATTGAATCCATAGACGTGGAGGGCTGACTGAATTAAATGACTATAGGTTCCTTATTCCTAACCATGGACAGAGACATCTAAAAAGATGCACTGAAAATTTGGCCCTCCTTTTGACCCCTGTGCAAATCTGTTTCTTTCCAATTGTCACCAGGAACAAGAAACATGAGATTGCTTTCTGTAGAGCCATAGAATCATAGAGTTGGAAGAGACCTCATGGGCTATCCAGTCCAACCCCCTGCCAAGAAGCAGGAAAAACGCATTCAAAGCACCCCCAACAGATGGCCATCCAGCCTCTGCTTAAAAGTCTTCAAAGAAGAAGCCTCCACCATGCTCATCAACATTGTAATACTGTATCTATATAACATAGGACTGATGACATACTATTCCCATCATGCCTTCCTAGTGATTAGATGGGGCTGATGGGAATTATAGTTCAACAACAGCTCCACTGTTCAACAACTACAACTTTCCCAGTCTATCGAAGCACAAAGACACATTTTGACAATTAAAATTGAGTAAGGAACATCTACCTTGACCTCACAAAGAAATTAGGATTAGTATCAGCGCAATACTTTCCCAACCAGATTTATCTATAGCACATTTTGGTTTTTATCTAGACCAATTTACTTACATCTGAAACTGAGGCAGATTTTCAGAGGGTAACGCCAGGGCTAAATCCAGAAATTTACAGGCAGACAAGTAAAGGTTTAACCATCTCTGGCTGTTGTAGGATGTGGAAAACCCATTGCCACCAGTGTATGTGGTTTCTAGGCCGGCCACAGATGGGCCTGAAGTTCTACAATTTGAATGAAATGAATAGATTATTCTTAGTCCTATGTTGACAAAATAAGATATAAAGAGACAAAGTAAGCAGGTACAGATCCAGTTCTGTTTAAAAGTTAAGCACACATGGCAACTGGAGGACAGCATGGTAAAACATTATCATGATATAAAAATGTATGTTTCTGCCAATAAAGGGAGGGAAAAAAGAAACTGAATTAAAAGAAAGCCAATGGACAATGTTCTCAATCTTTGGATTTCAAAACAATCCCTTCCTTAAATCGGGAACTTTGCAAAATAAAGGGAGATAATACACACTTGCTGCCCAGAACAAAAAAAGTAATCACAGAACTTCCCACTCATTTGAAGGGTTCTTTCCCACTCTTTAGACTAGTCATGGGCAAACTTCGTCCCTCTAGGTGTTTTGGACTTCAGCTCCCAGAAGCTAGCTTATCAGCTGTAAGGAATTGTGGGAGTTGAAGTCCAAAACATATGGAGGGCAAAATTTTCCCCATGCCTGCTATACATCACAGAAAAGCCTTGCTGAGAAAAGAGCTTTCTCTCTAAATATCTGCATGCATATACAACCCCACCTAATTTTTGTTTGCAAATACTGCTTGAAATGTGCCGGCGGGTGTTTAATTTTCACACAAATGCCATGCTCAAAATGTGTGTGAGAGTATACACAAGGACAGCGGTTGAAAAGGAGAGGGAACAGGGATTCAGACTCAACTCTCAAGGAAGTGAAAGGAGCTCTGAGAAAATAATCATGCTTCCTGAGGAGCCAAAAGCATTCCTGGAGGCAGTCAAGCAGGGAGGGAAGGTCTGCACAGAATTTGGGAAATTTTGCCAAGGGAGGAGAAACAAGAAGACGGCGAGTGCAAAATTGGGTGAGGTCTACTTTTGTTTTTAAAATTTCATCAAGTACTGGCAACCACTGCAGAAATTATTTTTGATACTTTATTCTTATTTTGAGTCACAATGTTTGTAAAATGGTGCAACTGAACATATGGTACAATATTACATATTTCTTCAACTGTAAGAGACCATAGATTTGTAAAATGCACCCTAATTTTAGTATCACCCCCACAAAACATACATGGGCTACATGTGTAATTCTATGATGCATCCAATTTTTAGAGATGTTTATATAGGAAAAAAGTGCATCTTAGAACTGAAGAAATACGGCAGATGTTTGTTAAATGAAACAAATTGCTTACTGTTGCTTATCATTAGCACAGGTTATGTTGTTGTTTGCAATGTCATAGTGTAGAATGGTATAAAACAATGATTGTGTGAAACAAAGCAGAAAATCACTCATCTGTGCTTCACCTGTGACACAAATGAGTGTGCAAAAAGAATACCTTGAAATATCTTCATCAGCAGTGAGTTCCTGTTCCATTAATAAAAATACTTGGACCTGAAGGACAAAAACGTCACTTAAAAAAACCCACAATTCTTTCCAAAGACAAAGGGTACAAAGCTTAAGCTGGGTTTGCTAAGAACTCTATAGGCAGTGAAACAAAAGCTAGCTTTCAGGCCATCCATCACATATTTACAGCAATGCAAGGAGGATTTCCTTGACTACTGTGTCAAATAAGAGCCGCACTCAAATGAACAATGCAATTCATTTACATATTTAATATCCATCTCGCCCATCTTGCATTGTGGGACCTATACTAGCTCACCATAGATGACTTGACAAAACAAACGCAATTACAAGAATGGCTAATAAAAAAGTTAAAATTAAAATATCATTTTAAAATGATGAAAAATGCAAAACATCCCCATGAAAAGACATTCTGCATCAGACAGTTACAGCTGAATAAACAGACAGTCTTTGCCTATCGGCAGATAAAAAATACAGAAGGTATTTTTTGGTTAATAAGACCAACAATGCATTTTTATACTCTTAAGGTTTCACACTAGAGAATCCTTGGCCTTAGTATGTTTTGCTCTGTAACTTGTAGCATGTCCACCCAGAATGGCCAACTGTAAGATGATGTGTGTTGTCCTATGAAGCACCTGTACAATTTTGCACCCTGAGTACAGAAAAGCTTATGGTATTAATTTCTTCTCCCCTGTTAGTCTCATAGGCATCACTGGCTGCCTTTATGTCTTATTTACTTATTCAGTTAGCAGACTCTGACTGAATTTAGGCCACAGTTGGTTAGCGTCAGGTACATCATATATATATATATATATATATATATATATATATATATATATATATATTGTAGAGAGGAAAGGGTACCCTAGAAGGCTCTAAAATTTGCATTAGAAGGAAATCTAAGCAAGTAGCCAAGGGCCAAGTTATGCAGTTAAATAAAGTTATTCAAGTGTATTCATTTGTAACTCACCAGTTCCGTGATCATGGTTGGCCAAAGTGAGGTAAGGTGCTGTGGAGACATTCTTAAGAGCAAAACTCGGAAAAACAGGAACACTTGAGAGTGGAGGGTGGGCACTTGAGGCAGGCGGAGACTTTCAACCAGCCTTTCTGAAACAGGGAAGCCCACAAGGAATTGTCAGCTCTAAGTCTTACTAAACTAATTAGTAGTGTGGCAACCACATGAATAAAGTTTAACCAAAATCAAGACAGAATGACTTTTAGTTAATGAATGATAGCAATACACAATCTTATCTGTGTCTGCATGCACACAAGCTTTTACACCAGGCATGGGCAAACTTTGGCTGTCCAGGTGTTTTGGACTTCAATTCCCACAATTCCTAACAGTCTACAAGCTGTTAGGAATTGTGGGAGTTGGGAGTCCAAAACAATGGGAGGGCCAAAGTTTGCCCATACCTGTTTAACACGTACAAACATAGCATGGGCAAGGACATAGTAGGGAAGTAGCCATTTTCCAAGTACAGTGAGTTGGATTCAGACACATTTATGTCTAGAAGAGACCCAATAAAATCAGCGAGTCTCTAGTTAGGCATGTTCCATTCACCCACTGCATCTTCTTTAAGTATGATAAATTCTGAATCCTACTCAGGGTAGGTTGCCAAAGACATAAAATCAATTATTCAGATTCAGTTAACAAGACTTTTTGTATACTAGCTACTGTACAAATGTGTGTATGATACATGGAGCAGAATTTTAACTACTGCTTTAGATGGAAAGTGGAAATGGTTAAGCTTTGATAGTAACATCTTTAATAAGCCACTGATTATGTTGTATACAACATTGCATGAACAGATTTCTTCTCATGCAGTGGGGCTTCCTTGTTTCTCCTTGTTGTTGTTGTTGTTGATGATGATGATGAAGAGAAGTAATTCACTACAGGTGTTCATTCTGGTTCTGGATGAACACAAGGTGATGCAACCCATTTTCCCCAAAGCAAGCAAATGTCCTTTTTATTTACCTTGTATATCTGGAAGATATTTCTGGTACTGATCCACTTCACTACTAAAAATGGCAAAGGCCAACCTCTTGAGGAGCATAGCGCGTTGTTCCAGCTCTACATCCCGATTAGCAAAAAGATTGAGTGAGCTGCTCTGAGCAACAGCCACACGTGCTAAAGGAAGAATAGATTGTATCAGTGAAGACTAAGAAATCTTTTAAGACCACATAGTTCCAGTCACTGAGTGCCATAAGGTTGATATCTAGCTTGTTTTGCACCCTATACACATATGGTGGATGTAAATTTTGTTAGAGATCCTCCTTAACGAATATATTTCAGTGTGTATCTCATTCTGTGAAACAAATCTAGCAAGAATAGATTCACCAGTTTTTGCACAATTCACAGAAGGATTCTATCATGCCTAGCTTCCTCTCCAAATTACCATCACACTACAACTATCAAGCAACCATGAGAGGAACTAATTCTTCACATTTCACTAGCTAGCATGATCAGGATAATTTCCAAACACACAGGGGCCATGCATTTTAACCCAGTGCATAAAAACCAGGACTCACTCATCAGATCTCTAAACGTTGTTTTGTCGTGGGTCATTAAATTGTCCATAATTGCTCTCCAGCTAAAAAGAGAGGAAAAAAGAAATGATATTGTGATAAGAACAAGGCAATGTAGCTTACTTTTCCTGAAACAAAACAAGACAGTGTCAGAGTGACATCTCCCCAAAATTGTGCCATGTACATCAAAGTAAGACATTTCAGTATGAATGCGGCCATGGATTGGACTTGGGTAGCATGAAGAGACCCACACAAAAATTCAGTTTGTGTCTGAATCTTTGAAGGAATTATCCTGGTCTCAAGTTCAGCCTCTATGATCACTATCCAAACCATCAGGAAGAGACAAATATGGAGTCATGTACAGGCACAGTGGGGGAGAGGAGGAGTTGAAATGTTGTGAAAACGGAAACAAGTTTGACAGTGACTGAGGATGGGAAGAACATTGGAAAGCAGGCACATGTGTTGCATGCAAGACTTCCCAAGTTCAATCTCTGACATATTACGATAGAAAGGAGGAAAGGAGAACAGCATCCCTGTCTGAAACTGTCGTGACCTGGTGTCCATCAGAATGGGCAGCACCAAGCTAAATGGACTAATGGCCCATAAGACCACTTCCAATGATAAAGAGGAAAGACATATTAGTGAATGGGAGCATCCACTCTTATGGATAATATGAATTATGAGAATTTTGCTTATGTCTTAGGAAAGACTTCAACCTATTGCCCCTCACATTATACAACTCCCATCAACTCTATCCAAACAGCACCAGGTTGGACAAGACTGTCCTAGAGAAACAGGTTCTAATTCTCCCTAAAGGCCAAGATGATTAAACTGAGTTGGACATATCATGAGAAGGTATAAGACACTAGAAAAGACAATAATGCTCAGTAAGGTAGAAGGAAGTAGGAAAAGAAGAAGGTCAATAGACAGACCAAGTCAGGGAAGCCACAACCCTGAGTCTACAAGACCAGAGCAGGGTGTTGAACATCAGGTGACTTGGAGGTCTTTCATTCTTAGGGTTGTCATAAGCTGAAGTTGACTTGATGGCAGATAACACCACCGAGTGCCAAACAAGCAATAAAGGGGCTTACTGGTTAACACAGGAAGCATCCATCTGAAAGAAACTAGGATCCATGAACAGGTCAAAAGCTTCTTTTTTCCATGCTCTCCTTGTGTACTGATATCCACTCAGACTGCTCAGTAGCTGCACACAGGCTCTATAACTGGGTGCATTATGGGCGCTGGAGGAAGAAAAGAAATCCAGTGCATAAATTGAAAGGCACAGTATCCACAAAAACATACAAGCAAAAGTCTTGAATTCAAACAACATCTCAGTAATCATGAATATTACAGTCTGTATGTCTTTTGTACTGGGACCACCAATACAACCTCTTTCTGATAGAGTGAGAAAAAACAGTAGCAGATGCAACTGTGGATAAACTAGTTTGAATGAGCAAAAGAATGGCAAAACATTATTGTGAGAACCACTGCTCAATTTCTCATTAAATCATAACTAAAAGCTGGAGGACTGAATGGAATGGTGATATCTATTTTGGGGAAGCACCCTGGATATTAACTGGAACAGTTGCTGCCAAACAAAATAATCTGACACTCACTTTCTTGGTAAACTTCCATGAATAAGTTGGATACCATATGATAATACTAACACTGCTGCTTCAATAAAAGTGGATAGTTAAGTATGTTGAACATATAATTGCAGAGGTACCTGTGATTGCGGAGGTAAGGCACAACATAGTGCATGATATTTACAAGAAGTGGAATAACCCTCTCTTTTTCATCACTGTAGAAAACCATATCCAGAAGATGGGCCAAAACCTGAAATGCAGTTTGGGAAAAAAACACCCAGGAAATATTAGTAACAATTCTCACAAACATAATCTTTCACAGTCCTGGAACTATACTGAAAATATTTTATAAAGTATTTTAAAATAAAAATCTTTTAAAGATTGACTGTTTAGTTCCCAGCTAAATGTACTATTCCTCAAATGTCAGAAATAAATATTACTGAACAAGCTTGGCTTTCAGATAGCTATAATTTCAATACAAACTAAAGAGTTATTTTAGTAAAAACACAATGTGTAATGCAACCAATTCAGACAATGTTGTTTCATTCTTCTGTCAGTGGGAGACAACAATTGTATGCCTACTGAATGTCCGGCTTTAACATTGAACTGTATCAGCTGCTGTATTAAACATCTTGACATAGACTGAACACACACAACTTAAATATGTCTGAAGTAGGCTTTTTTCTGTTGCCATTAGTCACTGACTGGATATAACAAAAGCTTGTGAACCAGATATTCCCCATTTCTGATTTAGACAGACACAAACATATCTAGTTTTATCCTAGATTTTGTAAAGCCTCCTCTCCTCCCCTCCCCTCTTGTAACTGGATGGAGAAATTCAACTTTGGTTTTGATTAATACTAATTTGTTGTGTCATTCCATCCAAAACATCTGTGGATGAAATTAACTATAAAAGTTACTGGATTTCCCCTGACATTAAAGTCTAGACGTGTCCGGTGCTCTTCTCCATCTCTAAGCCGAACAGCTAGCGTTTTCTGCAGACACCTCCAAGGTCATGTGGCCGGCATGACTGTATGGAGTTACCTTCCTACTGGAGCGGTACCTATTGATCTACTCACATTTGCATGTTTTTGAACTGCTAGGTTGGAAGAAGCTGGGGCTGAAAGATCACCCCGCTCCCCGGATTCAAGCCTGTGACCTTTCAGTCAACAAGTTCAGCAGCTCAGCGGTTTAACCCACTGCGCCACTGGGGGGGGGGGGGTTCCACAAAATTAACTATGTTCAATAAGTTAACTGCAAATTATGGATTTCGAAGTGTTTCTTGTTCACAGGACTCTAGTGAAAGTTAACCATAACTCCAGGACCAAAAGACACGACATCAAGTGATGACACAAAAGCAGAAATTCCTCCAGGAAGCAAGGGAGTTCAGTATAAAATGTGCTTCAGTTCTATTTTATTCATGGTCAAGGGGATGAAATATTTCAGAGGAGAAATGCTAATAGGCCACCTCACATTTTCTTCCTTACTCTTTCTAGAGACCGCTCTCCATCTACAATAAAGGCTAACATTAAACTCCTACCACTCCTGCAGCTACAAGTAGAAACTAATAGAAAGAGTAAAGGCTAAATGTAACAAGAAAAAAAGTAGCATAAAAACCCATAGAGGTCAAAAGGGGGACGCGCAATAAAGATGAGAGAATAACTATAAAAGTATCAAGGAGCTGTTTTGATTTCTAATTAATATTTATCCTGCAGGGCTGGCACTGGATGAAGCATAAACTTCACTGAGCAGCTGCTGAGATCCACACTGTTGGAGGGAGTCTTCACTGCTGTTGCTACTAGTGTACTTTTCCCTCTCCAAACATGTCAGAAAAAGAAGAGTAAGTAAGCATAGCTACTGACTCCTGTGTCCTTCTGTGTTTTCCCTCTGGGAAAGAGTGGAACATAGAAAGAGAATCCAAGTGAGTCCAAGGCAGCACTGCTTTAAAGAGCAGGCGGGGCTCACAGATAGAGTTTGGGGGTGGTACAATATTGGTGAAAGTCAAGAGATGCCTCTCTTCAGCAGGACATGGAATAAGTCCTGAATATCTTTTATTTGCCACCAAAAATGTCTCCAGTGAATTTCCAGGAGTGAAATTTTTGTTGCTTCATTTTCTATATATTTTCCGCACACACTATTTTTTAAAGAAATCCACAGAATTTTAGACAATCTTCTGGGGGGGGGGGGGACTTACTTCTGATAGCAGTGTTAAGGCATGAACACTGTAAACTGATGGAGTTATGCTCGAGGTCTCCAAAGCTGGAGATAACATATCTAAAAAGCAAATGAGAAAGTGTAAGAAATTGTATTATTAACATATATCTATATCTATATAGCCGTTTTTAAAGAAAAAAATTAGCTCTGAAATTTGCAGTCTATAAAGCAAGTTAATGCTGGAATTTAACAGCATCAAGTAAAATTCTGCCAATATTTTCAGAACACATGAGATCTTTAGCTAACAGAAGTCTTAATTTTTTTCATGTCAGGAGTGACTTGAGAAACTGCAAGTTTCTTCTGATGTGAGAGAACTGGCTGTCTGTAAGGACATTGCCTAGGGGATGCCCAGATATTTTACCACCCTGTGGGAGGCTTCTCTCATGTCCCTGCATGAGAAGCTGGAGCTGACAGATAGGAGCTCACCCCACTCCAAGGATTCTAACTGCTGACCTTTCGGTCAGCAGTCCTGCCAGTACAAGGGTTGAACCGCCTAGTCAAAGGCACAACGGAACACCAAGTTTTTAATTCCTTGCAGAAAATGGAGAGAGTAGGGGCCTGTCTGATCTCCCTAGGAAGAGAGTTCCAGAGCCAAAGGCCACCACTCTTCCTTGAGATGGCGATGGGAGCGAGAGAAGAGTCTCCCTAGAGGATCTTTGAGTATATGCTGGTTCATAAGGGAAGATGCGATCGTGAAGATAGGCAGGTCCTGAACCATTTTTGTTATTTTTATTTTGTAATAATAACAAAAATAAGCAAGAACAACACTAACATCAGTACCATATTTTACCGCATAATCGTTGCACCGTTTTTTCAGTCCCAAAATGTATTTCTATTTGTCACCATGTAATTTTACATCATACATTTCTGTTTGTCATGCTGCTTAACAAGGGAGCGGGTGGGGAGGGCTTCCCAATATTGAATAAGAGAGAGGAGGAGAGGAGAGAGTCTGGGAGGTAGACTGAGGGGAGGAACCAATGTTGGGGATTTGCTCGCTGTAGCTAATGGCCATCACTCAAGGGCCACCTGTCCTCTTCTTATTTCTATATCTGTGGAATTTTCAGGGTGGGAGAAAGACCTCTTGTCTGCCCGAGGCATGTGTGAATATTGCAATTGGCCACCTTGATTAGCATTGAATAGCCTAGCAGCTGCAAAGCCTGACTACTTCCTGCCTGAGGGAATCCTTTGTTGGGAGGTGTTAATTAGCCCTGATTGTTTCTTGTCTAGAATTCCCCTGTCTTCTGAGTGTTGTTCTATATTTATATGCAACTACCATATAAATCCATAAAACTTGTCCATCTGAGGGTACGGATACAGAAGTGTATGTTCCTTAGCTGAGTTTTAAGTACATCTCAATCACTGAGCTTGTCAGCCAGAGGGGATGGTTCACCCCTCCCTACTGCCTCCCCAACACCTCAAGACCCAAAATTGGAATAGCAAAGATGGTTGTGTATGTATGGGGTATAAAGTTCTCCACTGTTAATAGGCATCTGATAGTATGATGTTGGATGTATGCCTTGGAAGTCTTTTTATATGGTTGTAAACAATAAAACATGGTTAAAAGCTGATAAGATTTTGAATAAAAGAGAAAGAAAGGAAAAATTAACCTTCAACATCAGACTCTAGGTTGTTTCCATCCACCATTATCTTGGGGGAAGGCTTAACCTCTAGATTTCGCCTTAGCCAAGTAGTCTGTTCCAAGGATGAGCCAGCAATTGCTCCAATGGCATCCACTATTTTGTGAGTAACATCCTGGAAGAAACACAAACAGAAAGGCTGCTGCTTATAAAAAGCAAGTGGTATAAGTTTCTATAAAAGTGAAACACTTTGCATAAATAACACAGAGTCGTAAGGGCCTGACTGCTGACACGTATTAGAACCTGGAATTAAACAGGACACTAGAGTTGGGCCCAAATCACTGTTAATGAAAAGATTTGTAGTTTTTGGAGGGCCATTTTCATGTAATTTCTGACAACAGAAAGGGGAAGAAAGACGAAAAGACCAGTGAAACGAATTCAAAGAGACAATATTTTTAGAAACAGTTAATTCTACAAAATATCTCCCCGGCAGAAGAAGCCTCCTCCATTTTTTCTTGAAAAGTTTCCTCCTCCTCCAGAGAGGGCCCTTAGAACTTGCTTTCCCAATGGCACTAGCATAGGGTGGCCATTGAAAGTGCCTCTCAGAGAATGATGGGAGCTGAAGTTTTTCTCTCTGTGTGTCTCTCAGCCAATAAAAAGCCTGGCAGTGCCCATGCTCTGATTGGGTGAGAATGGACACAACCACTAGCTACAATCCCCAGAAGCCTCTCTTGCAGTTAGTCTCACTTTAAAAAATGTTATGTTTAAAACTTAAAATAATTCTAAAAAATCAGGAGATCAGTGAATTGTTTTGAAACTTGGAAGGCCTGTATTTGTAAATGGGGTCTATAACTGAGGCAGGTTTCATGCAGATAGGCCTTAAAAATGGCTGAGGGTCGAGCCTTTAAATCTTCCAATTGTAGCCAATGGACTGAAACTCTGCCAAGTGAAATGGAAAATGCTCCTCCTCTTTGAGGTAACTATCTGGTAAATGAAATGAGTGTTAGATGAAAACGGACCCGAAAATGGCCTGAATGATTCCTACTTTTATTTGGAAAAATAAAAAATAGGTTATATCCTGCTTTTCCTCCAATGAGCTGAAGGTGGCATACTTCCTTCACACTCTACCTTCACTAACAAAGGAAACCCACAGAAGCAAAGCAATAAATTAGCCAGGTGCAGAACTACACATTAAGCAAGCCTAAATTTATGGAACTCACAAGAATACACTCCAAAGAAACGAAGGGTAGACAATCACCCTGAAATCACCAAAACTCAGACACAGTGATCCTTTCTAGTGAATTAAATTCACTAAAATTGGCAATGAATTAGGAAAGTATGAGGATGACATTTGAAATCGTTACTGCTGTCTTCACCATGAACCAGTTGACAGTTTCTATTATAAGGGTTTAGAAAATCTGGATGGCATTGATGAGGAACACACTACAATCAGATTAGAATTTTTAATTTTAACAGTAGTAACAAATAGCATTAGTTTCTTACCTGAAGGTCTCTTTGGTCCTTTTTATTATCCAGATTTGGGTTTTTCATAATAAATTCATTCAAAACTCTGTGGAAAAAAACAAAGAAACAAAAAAATGTAGTAAACTTTCATAACATACTGTCCATAAAATGGGGAATTAGATTTTTATTCAGCCAAAAGGATTTGAGATTCAAAGAGAGTTATGTTCACAAGTCCCTGGATATAAAAAAGCTGGTGTTCAATTTCATTTTAACTAGCTCACATGTTATTTTGGAAGCAACCCTAACTTTGAGGGTCTTGCTTTACAGACGCAGAATTTAAATGGGAGATAAATGTTTTAAAACAGCTGCAATCTGTGAAACACTAATATCTAATCATTCAAAGTGATTTTTTTTTTGCTATTCTTCCTGCAGCTTCCTGAAAATCTCCTGCCGAGGAGGAAAAGACTCCCCAAAGCAGCATGAAAGTGTTGAGGGGAATCAGCAAAAATGGCCTCCTCACTTTCTCCAGTGAGGTAACCTTTCTCTATCCCTCCCTGTCTCCACCTGCCATGCAGATCAAATGCTGATTCAGCTCAATGCATTAATTGAAATGTTCAGAAAATTTGAAATGTTTATATATATATATATATATATATACTTAAGGTCAGTGTTATTATCTGCTACATTCAATCCAATGAAACATTAAACCATTGTTGCTTAAGGTTATGAAGGAGATATACTGGTCCAGGAGGTTGGACTCGATGGTGCTTGTAGACTTTTCAATCTCTGTGACTGGTGAAGTCTCCTTTTCTGGAGGTTTCTAAACAGGTGCTGTCTGTTTGGAGTGCTCCAATTGTGGTTTTCCTACATGGCAAAAGGGGGTTGGACTGGCTGGCCCTTGTGCTCTTTTCCAATTATATGATTCTGTGACATTTAGACACATTCCTGCGGGCTAGGCAAGGCAGGAACATGGTTTTCAAAATAAAAGCCTCAAACCTTGGTCCAGCGTGAAATGGTATTCTTCCTAGGGACAAAAATCACTTACTAGTCTTTTGACATTGTCTCAAAGGACATCAAGCTCATGGAAACCAAATGGCTCACCCCAGTATGAGGAACTGCCCTGGAGCTGGAAGGCCAAGTTGTATGGAGTCCTTCAGGAGAAGTAACAGGGAGGCCCAGCTGTCAATAACATTGGACACAGGGATTCTACAAGAAAGGAAGCAAGGCGTGAGTGCAGTCAGAGGTCATTCATAAGAGCATTTCTTCTTCTTGCAGCATAATGGCAGGCTGATCGGACAACACTACAATCTAAAATTGGTGTTTCCTCTCATTTAATGTTCCAACAGCTAATTTTAAAATATATATATCACAGAACTCTGTTTGGAAATGTGAACTCAACAAAGAGAGAAAAGCTGCCAATTTTTAAACTTGAATGCATGTAATTTTTCAAATAATGGAATGAGGTTTAAACATTGTCTATTGCGACAGCTCTCAGAACTATTCAACTCCAAGGGAATTGCTCCACCAACATGCCCTTTTAAAAATATCTCAGGCCCCTTACACACAGCTGACTAAAACCCCAAATTTTCTGCTTTGGAGTGGAATATATGGCAGTATGGACTCAGATAGCCCAGTTCAAATCTGATATTGTGATATTTTTCTGCCTTGGTTTCTGGGTTATGTGGCTGTGTGGAAGGGCCCTCACTTGAAGGCACTGAAGGAAATGAAAAATAAGATGTATTTTCACTGTCTTACCTCTGAATATATGCAAAGAAAAACTGCAACATGCAGACCTCCAGCGAAAGATGCTTCTAGAAAGATTTTTTTTTAAAAAAAGAACTAGATTACAAAGAGAAAGGCTGTTCTTTTCAACGTCCAAAATGTAATAATAACACAGAAATCAAATGATTAATGCAAAATATTGAAAGGAAGAAAAATAATTTGTTGGCAGCACAATTTCAGGGAGTGCTCTAGTTACATGCACCATTTCAAGGAGCGCCATGTCACACGGCAAAAAGGTTAAAGAATGGGGATTGGAGAAGCCTTTTGCTATATACGTAAAATGCTAACTCTTTTAATTGCCATTTCCCAGTCTTGCAAGTTTGTCTTGAAATGCAAAATGTGTTACACCAATTAAAAGCAATCATAGCCTGTGCTATAGAGGGCAAGCTTCTAGGGTTAAAGGTGTTATTTGTTGTCAGAGAACCCATGTAACACGGCTGCCTGGAATGGAATTAACTCTAGCATTAAAAAAAAAACAGAGATCATTGTCTTGAAGAAAAGAACAAGATTACATCTAAGTGTGTAGCAGTTCTGCAATGAGGCCTTAATCACGCTTGAGGGACAGTAGCCAGTTCAAGAGTCAATGGCTTCTAGTTCTTGGCTCTTCATGTGCAATAATGCTCATCTCCTTAATACATGGTGATCAGATAATGAGATACCAGCCACAGGAGAATTACCACCTCAGTGCAGCCAAGGGGCAATCTTATGGACAGTCTCCTTTGGCTGACCTTCATGGCTGTGCTACATGCTACAATCTGGTTAATGGAGAGAAGCACTGCTTTCTGCACAAATGGTTCTGAACTATACATTTTATAGGACAAGTAGAACTAGATCATGGGAAGCTATACTATTCTAATGGCATGCCTAGACATGAAAGTAGCCGTATCATGCAATATCTATGTGATATGCTAGACTTCCCCAAAGACAGTGTATAAATACATGGACTAGTTTGTCTGCTTAAATAATGAGCTAGACAGATTATACATCTGAATGCTGATTCTCTTATATACAAATATCTCAAAATCCTAAGTTTAAGAGATTTTGAAAGGGAATGATAATATTTATTTATCTGCTGAACAATGCTGTTGCTTAAAACCTTGGAGGCTCAAATGTGACAACACGATACATTTTAAGGAATACTGACAAGATACAGATTGACAGTCACAAGGCAAAGATAGGCGGAGGGGGAACCACATCTGTTTCTGCTATCTTTCCTTAGTTCATTCTCTTAAATTAAATCTGGAAAGCTAGTTATGGGAATCTACTGTGACAGGAACCTAGGCTTAGACTCAGTATGATTGAAAAAAGGTGTCATTATTAATAACATTTAAAAAAAAAAACAGGCATTGGGGTTTATAGGGAAATAAACCAAAGAAACCTTTACTGGATATGGTGAAAATGCATTCAATGACCATGATTATATTGAAGTTTTGGTAACTTTTGGAGTCAAAATCTATTTGCAATGTTTTCATTACAAAGTAATTAATTTCAAATAAGGTTTTTTTATCTATTACTGGCTCTTAATCTACCCATAAAGCAAAAGCAGCCCAAAAGCTTTGACATAATTTGGGCAGTGTCTTGAACATTGAACATGCCTCTGGAAGCAGGGGTTCAAACCCCTGCTCAGCTACAGGGAAGACCACAGGGTGACCTTGATAAAGTCACATTCTCTTAGCCTCAAAAGGAAGGCAAAGGCAAACATCCTCTGAACAAACCTTGCCAAGAAATTATAGCTTCACCTTAGGGTTGCCTTAAGTCAGAAATGACTTGAAAGCACAAAACAACAATAATATTGCTGGATGAGGATGCTTGCCATAGATGCAGGCGAAACATCAGGAGAAATGCCTCTAGAACATGGCCCTATAGTTCGAAAAAACCCACAAGAACCTAATAATATTGCTATTTCCGTACCTTGTCCTTGGCAATTGCAGGTGGTTGTTTTAAGACTTCTTTCACCGTCTGCATAACAGTCTCAGTTCTCATAACACTGATGGAACGAACTAACTCTACTAGCAAAAGTTGCTCTTCACTGGCAGAAGGAATGACCTGGAAAATGACATCACGCATGGTCACTAAGTCTAGTACAATCAAGCCATGATCATTTCAAGACTGTAAGAAACATATAGGGAACGGAAATAATTTTTCAGCAGCCAAGTACAAAGTTGTCTTAGTAGCCACAGAGAAATTTCAAAAACCACTGGTCTAAGATTAAAACTAAATGTCAATTCAAAAATTAAGGTACTGCTTTATGCAGTCAAACCAGCATATTCTGATGTTATTTCTGAGCTACCGAATAAATTATTATCTATTCTAAAAGCACTCTCTCTCCCTTTTTCTAATCACAAAGTCAAACAGGACTATAAATAACTTGTGGAACCCCCTTAGTTGCAGCTTGACCTGCCTTGCAATTCATGCTATCTAGCCATTACTTCCAGCAGCTTATAGCAATTTCCAAAAGAAGTCTAAATGATCAGTCATTTAGGCAATACCGCCTTGAACACGCCCAATCTTGTCTGATCTCAGAATATATGAATTTGCACTTTAGTACTAACTAGTAAACTTCAAATTGGCAGATATTGGAGAAGTTGTTCTTTTGGACCAGAGGTGTTCAAAATCCCACATTGTGGGATTTTGAGAACTGTGGTTCAAGAAGTAACCCTCCTAAGCTCTTGGTTAAGGATTTAGCATGAAAAACATCCTCTTATGTTGTCCAATGGAAAAAATACCTAGTGGCCAAGTGTAATGCATGCCAACTTCTCAGTGAAAAACAGATCCTAAAGAGCTAAGTTGACCCCAGAAACTCAGAATGACCCAAAGCTTTTCTGAATAAATCTTCTGTTCCTTGTTTGACTATGCAGAAGGCTGCTGGAGAAAACTTGTACTTCTTCTGGAAGTATTATATACTTGATGAATGCCCCTTTAAGGTTCTACTTCAAGCAGAACAGCAAGACTTGCATCATTACTAATTTGATTCAGAAAAAGTGCCTTTTTTGGCACTCACTCAGTGGCAAGGCTGAGCTTAATGCATTCCTAATTTGTCTTCCTGCTGCTTTCTGCTGAAAATGATTCATGTTCCTCTAAAAGGGTTGTTTCCATCTAAAATAGAAACATGTTTCTGTGCCAGCCATGGAAAAAAGGCTGCAACCTCCCAGGACTGATAATGGAGGATGTGAAGGTACAAACTTTATATCTAGAATGTGGTTCAGCACCCCTTCACCTCATTAATGGAGTATTTGAGAAGGAGAGGATCTTATTGTAGTGATTTCTGTCATTTGCCTACCTGGGACTCAACTGATAAAGCAACCTGCAACTTAGTTACCACAGCTATTCACCTAGTATTGCCCCCAGTAGCACAATGGGTTAAAACCTTGTGCTGATCGGAAAGTTGACAGTTTGAATCCAGGGAGTGGGCTGTGCTCCCGTCTGTCAGCTCCAGCTCCCCATGCAGGGACATGAGAGAAGCCTCCCACAGGATGGTAAAACATCTGGGCATACCCTGGGCAATGTTCCTGCAGACAGCCAATTCTCTCGCACCAGAAGCGAGTGATCAATTAAAAAAACACTGGATTGGCAGGCTGAACATCTTAGATATCAAGCAGCTTTTTAACCTGATACCAAAAACATTCATCATATTCATATGTATAATATCAGAAAGCATGGCATCTGTGGCAAGCTATAATTTTTGTTATGGCTGGACAAAGTCAATGTAGGCAGCTAATCTGAAAGTCATAAAAATAAATTATTGCTCTTCTAAGCACACTGGTTTTCCAAGCACATTTAAATGAATTACGATGTGTCTTACATGGAACAATTTTCCAATAGCTGCATCAGCTAACATACCTTAGTTCTTGAAGTATGCTTTTGTTGTCTCCTTTCATTCCACACAAATGCAATAGCTGCCATAAAGTGTACACCATGATTCATTGAAATTGGACCCAGCAGTTCAAGAATCTGCTGCCTCAAGTTCTGAAATTCATAACACAACATGTTTATTTTCAAAACATGTATCTATGTGGTTTCTTTGATTTTTTAAAAACATTTGTTCTGTGGAAGAAGATGGGAATGGTGGGAACAGCATCTGATGACAAGAAACTGCCATGTGCTGTCTTTCCTGGTGTTTATGGCTCTTTACCATATTTAATTAATTCATTTCACTCAATGAAGATGTCACATCATCCACAATTTAAAAAAATTAAGTATGTCATGGGGTGGCTTTACAGCTCCAACATCAGGCCATACTTTGAAATTAGAAAATAACTTACCTCACCTCCAGAAATTATCGGAATGAAGTTAATTTTTTGCATTATGTATAATTAGTATGATGTCTGAACATACAAACCACTATTAAAGCAGTCCCATCACCTTTTGAGGTCTCTAAATAATAGAAAAGGGGGATATGCTCAGACTGCAAATAAAATGAAAATGGTGGCAAATGAAGTTCTAAGATGAAGTGTGGGTTATAGTTACTTGGTAAGAACTTATATGTGGTTGATTCCGGAAAACTAGTAACACTATAGGTTTCATTCACATGAAGGCCCAGGCAGTGCTTTCCCACATTAATGGTAAACAGATATGTGGTTTTATTAACTCTTAAAACAGTCAGCCCTCAATATTCACTGGGATTAGGGCTACAGAACACTCGTAAATGTGGAGAAACAACCAACAAAAAAGCATTTATCCCCAGAAAGAACATTTCTCCAGAAATCTCTACGGCAGTGGTTCTCAGCCTGTGGGTCCCCAGATGTTTTGGCCTTCAACACCCAGAAAAACTAATAGCTGGTAAACTGGCTGGGATTTCTGGGAGTTGTAGGCCAAAACACCTGGGAACCCACAGGATGGGAACTACTGTTCTAGGGCCTCCTGCAGGGTTATGGGCAACTTCCAACAGAAACTGACAATAGAGTTGCACTGGCGAAATTGGAGATTTCTATAGAAAACATTTCAATCAAGCCTGCAAATGCAGAGGGCTAACTGTATTTACTAAGTATTTCAATATTCCATCAAAACATTAATAGCCTGTTAATCACTAGTGGTTCTTGAGATACTGGTGAGTCATCACACAGTCTGGTTGACAAAGTGCACTCCATTCCCCAAAGCCTCTGATGCTCTGACCTTGGTTGATCCAAGATTAATGGTAGTAACAGCTGCAGCAGCTGCAGTGACTGTTCTCTCCGAAGAGTCCGCCTGTTGAAGGATGCTCCACAGAAGAGTCACAGATGACATGATCATGTGAAGGATAGACAAGATCCCACTGCGAGCTTCAAACATGTGCTTCTGATCAACATTAACCAGAAGCTGGTTCAGACAAAAGAGGAAAACCAATCAATTATTCTCAGTGATACTGACAAAGAAGAATGCTTCACCATCATCTTGTTTCTCTCTAGATATACATTTCTATCTTGACTTCCCCTTTCTGTTTATAGTTAGCACTGTGTCTGAATGTGAACCATGATGTCCTTTTTTTGATAGTATGGTTCAAAGTCAGTTTAAAGCTGATGATAATATTTGATGGAGTGCAGATGTGAAGATAACTATAGTTTTCAGATGGGATGGAGGACAGAAGGGAAGGGGTGAACGCGTGAACCCCCAATGTTTCTATTCTTTTAAATATATTTGTAAAAACAGGAAGTATTGCATCTCCGTCAATTCAAAATTTGTTTTAATGCTTGCACAAAACCAGTGTAAGCAGCTAATTCAAAGAGCATCAAGAGAAACTATTGCTTTACATGTTTGCATTTACAGTATTTTATTCTCTTTGTAAACAACCACAGGCCTAAGAAAGGAAAACTCATCCACAACAGGACAATATGTTTATTTAAACCAATAAAAATATTACAAAAATGTGTCAGGCAGAAACTACTAATCAGGATAAGATAATGTCAATGTTCTATAGTTATTATTAATGCCCCTAGCGGCACAATGGGTTAAGCCCCTGTGCTGGCAGGACTGTTGACCGAAAAGTCAGCGGTTTGAATCTGGGGAGTGGGGTGAGCTCCCATCTGTCAGCTCCAGCTTCTCATACTGGGACATGAGAGAAGCCTCTCACAGGATGATAAAACAATTGGGTGCACCCTGGGCAATGTCCTTATAGACAGTCAATTCTCTCACACCAGAATCGACTTGCAGTTCCTAAAGTCACTCCTAACACGGAAAAAAAATCTCTTTACAAGGCATTGCATCCTCCAAAAGATGTCTTGGAAAAATATTTTGAAAAACAAGACCTTCCATGGAGATCAAAGAAAGAGGCACAAAGATCCAGTAGCAAGAGTGGACCTTGTTGAGACTTTTTCAGAGGTAAAAATGGGAACTGCATCAGGCCCAGATAAACAATGTAACACTTTACAACATCAACTCTGTGTAACTTTACTTCAAACAATGAATAATACATTAAAGGACACAATTCCAGACTCATGGAGACAAGCAAACATCAATACTTGAAGAAAGATTTGGGCAAATATGGAGCATCCTTACCTGATGATACTGTGCAGAAGGGTCAAGTAAGCAGTAGTGAATAATAGTAGTAATGCCTTCTAAAAGAGTAAGTATCATATCAGGTGGAGTAACTGATGCCATCCAAATGGGCCTAAAACAACAACAACATGGAATTTGTTGCAATTTTGCAAGAAACATACCACATACACGCACATATATATATATATTTCAAAATTGCCAAATTGAAGAGAGAGATGCATACCTATTGTCAGACAACCCTGTTTCATATCTGAATTGCTGAATCAAGTTATCCAGGTTCCTGCAAAGCTGGAGGGTGACAGAAACCACCACCCTTTGGAGCACTTTTCCCATGTAAGGAAGGGAAGAAGTGATGAGGCCTATCCACTGAGGGTGCATTTTGCAGGCACAGTGCTGGTGCAATGCTCTGATCACAGCACAAAGAAACATGCCCTGGGAGGTGATGGGCTGGGAGTGTAAATACTGGAGTGAGGTCATTGGTTGCTGGGGGTTGATGTGCTCCAAGTCAGTTATGACAAAGTCAAAGCCCGTTTCGTTCTCCTCCGGTACAGTCATGACCTTGTGCTCTAGGACAATGAGCCTCTGGAGGACTTTTAAGAGCTGAGACTGGAGGGTGCTACCATTGTCAAACTGGTCTTCAGAGAAGTTGATAAGGCTATCTTCCGAGAAACCTTCCTCAATTGCCACTATATTTTTTCCAGCTAACTTTTCGCTGTGCCACTTCTGGGCGCTGAAGATGGAGGACAGCAAACAGTGCAGGACCACCTTCTGCACCTTGCATTTGGACAGCATGTCTGAAATGAAGCTGGGGAAGCCTTTGGTGGAACTTTCCACCACTTTTGCCAGCTCAGCAAAGAGAAGGGTCAAGATCTCAATGCTCATCATCTGCATGTTACGGTTGCCAATTAGGTCTTGCGAAGAGACTTTCACGTGGGTTGGGTAGTGGCTCCGCATATAGTACAAACACAAAGAAATCAGGATCTCTATGTACATGGAGCTCCGGAAATTGTGGTTTGAGTCCACTGGGATATGGCTGTAGAAGTCTTTGCCCATAACAGATATGCGATGCCTGGCTAAGAGGTTCTGAAGTAAGGACAGCTGAGGGGTGTAGGCATTATTGACACTGGTGGTAGAGATAGCATTCACAAAAGCAGAAGGATTTGTTTTCAAGATGGCTTTAATTGCAGAAAAGGCATACAGAGTCCTTGAGGAGTCATACACCTGAAGATAGAGCAAGACATGCTGATACAAAGGATGGATGTTAAAATGAGGTGATTTCCGCATCCCTGGAGACCCGGCATCGCTCTCAATCTCAGAGATTTCTCCCTCTCCGCAGCTGTACCAGTTTTCTAAGTCAAGGCCATCACTGAAGAATACACTGGTTTGTTTCACCTTCTCAGCTTGTGCTTTCTTCTTCTCTTCATCTTTCCTCTTAGCTATTTTGACTTTGGGCTTTGCTCCTGGTTGCTTACCAGACTCTTTCACAATAGTTTCTTTCTCTGGGAACTTCCCTTTGAAGCTGAACTGGATGCTGCTGTGGCTTCTCTGCCTGGACCTGGCTTCGGTTGATGTGTAATTGGGGTCACAGAGAGTCTGCTGGCTTGATGAGATGCAAGGTGAGGAATTGTTTCTGGAGATTTCATTGGAAATGCTTTCAAGTCCTGTCTCAGTTGAGGCTGAGAGCAACTGGGAGCTGTCATTGCTTAGCAAACTACTCTGACTGTCCTGGATGTTTGACTCCTCAATTTTAGTTATCTCTTCAGAGAGATCCAAAGTACTCAATTTAGCTGAAGTATCTTCTGCATACAGATACTGTTTAGGCAGTTCAGTATCTTCGCCAAGCCCATTGACAACCGTGCATATCAAGTCTGTGACCACCTGCTGTACTATTTCATCTGGTGACTCTTCTCTCAAATGCTGTGAAGGGTCTGGGGCAGTCAGGCTTTCCGCTTCCACCTCATAACTTAAGTTATCCCCAGCAGAGGACTGGGAACAGCCAGAATCTGAACTCTGCATTATTTCTATCTGATGCTCTGGAAGGTCGAAATCAGAAGCAGCCAAAGGAATAGTTTCACTGCTGGTACTCAGCAAGGAGATCCTATCACTTAAGGGATTGACTGTAAGACTAAAATTCTCCATTTCATCCATGGCAAGTTGTTTCTCATTGTTCTCTTTGGCTGAGACATCTTGTTCTTGAGTTGCTGGCATGTGGCCAAATGCTAAAACAAAAATAAAAAAAATCACTAAGAAACATAAAGCACACAGAATTATGAATTTGAATTGCATGATTGTAACTGTTGTTTTAATAATTGATCTTTTAATTGTTTGGATTTTAACTGTATTTGTTTATTTTCAAATTGATGTGTGTTGGAATCAAATTGTTCCCATTTAAAAGGCCGCCCTGAGTCCCTTAAGGGGTGAGAAGGGTGGGGAACAAATGTGGGAAATAAGTAGAATAATAGAATCTTAGAGTTGGAAGAGACCTCGTGGGCCATCCAGTCAAACCCCCTTCCAAGAAGCAGGAAAATCATATTCAAAGCATGCCCGACAGATGGCCATTCAGCCTCTGCTTAAAAGCCTCCAAAGAAGGAGTCAAATTATTTTGGCTGTAATGCCCATTTTGATGGAGTCCTAGCCTCAAACTGTAACTGTTAAGTGCATCCATATTAGGTTAACATTATGACATGACAATGGCTGAATGGTGAACCTCCAGAGAGATGAGGAAAAAGAGTGAAAATGAAAGAAAAGAGAGCAGGGTGTGCACATTTTACAAATATTTGAATTCACCACTTTATAGGAATTTGGCTACCTAGGGACCTAGAAATGTCAATCTTTGAATAATGCCGAACCCTTCCCTTCCTCTCCACCAGTTGGGAGAATCCACATACAATGGACATTCCAACAAGTTTGGGAAATGAGTCCGCACAAAACTGTTTTTCACCACAGAAAAAAACAGTTTGTGCAAAAAAATTGTGGCTACGTGTTGCTGGTCACAGAGGCATGGTCCACCTCCCCTCTTGCACGCTGAGGCAGGTCAAAGTTATGCATATTTGAAGAAGAAATAAGTAGACCTATACTTATACACAAAGAGAGTACTTACAACCATCACAGTTAAATTTCTGCATAAAATGCTTTTCATTTTCATCTTCAGGATAACAGGGAGATTTGTTCCAATAGCACTCAGCTTGCACCCGCTGAACTGAAATGCGCTGAGTTTTTGGATGAAGTAGCAGCAAAAGCAAAGGCTCCAGGACTCGTGCAATGTCATGACGCTGGAGCACTTGATTTAACCAGGCCTGGCCAACTGACCAAGTAGAGCCATCTAAACTGTTCAAGCTATCGAGCATAATGAAAAGGGATCTAAAATGGAGGAAAATCCAAATTAAAATGCATCAGACAGTTACAATAGGCCAATAAAAACGACAAGTGTTATAACAGTTGGCATCAGCTGGAGAGGTCAGTTTCTCCTTGTTTAAATGACTCAGAGCCAAGCTTATTAAGGAATTGATGCTTATAGTGGGATTAGGGAGGATATCTGGGTGGAAAGGAAGTCGCAGAAGGAAAGCAATGAGAGGAATGGGGGAAGGTGACGAAGAAAATACAAAGTGTTTGGAAATAATGCATTGCAAGAATGAACATCATCTGTAATATGTTCCTTTTGGAGTTCTTATAAGTAGGACAGGAGTGCACCTTTTTATTTGTCAATCCATACATGTTCCCAACTAACCTGTCAAAGGAACGGCCATATGATGAGGATTTGTTAATATGGAGATCTCTGGTGAGGTGCCAAAGCACGGCAAACTTTGCATGAGCTTCCAGTCTGATTTTCTACAAGATAAAATGACATTTTAATCAATGCATATTGTCCATTCTGCTGGGAATGTCTTTATGCCAGATATGAATGTATAACCTAGAGTTATGAACTCTTGACTGTTAAGCATTTGTTTGCAACTGGGTTTTGGTTCATAATCATGTTTGTGTTTTATTTTACCATAAACCTAAATCATCCCTAGCTCAGTATCAGACCAGATTTAATTGCTACTCAGCACTAGTCTTGATAATATTATCCATATAAAAACCCATAGTAAAATCATAACTCAAATTACATACATAACATAACACCATAGAGCAGGCATGGGCAAACCTTCTAACTTGGGGGTCAAGCTAGCACTCCTTACTAAGAGGACTGGCTGTCCGGTGATGGAAGGAAGGAAGGGAAGGATGGAAAAAGAAAGAGGGAGAGAGGGAGGGAGAGAGGGAGTAAGCAGGAATGAATGAGAGAAGGAATGAAAGACAAAAGGGAAGGAAAAACAAAAGGGTGGAAGGGAAAGAAGGAAGGAAGGAAAAGGAAGGAGGAAGAGAGAAGGAAGGATAAAGAGGTGGAAGGGAATAGAGGGAGAAAGATGGAGGGAGAGATGGAAAGGAGGGAGGAAAGAGGGATGAAAGGAAAGACAAAAAGGAAAGGAAGGAAGGAGAAAGAGGAAGGAAGGAAAGAAGGAAAGGAGGAAAGGAGGAAGAGAAGGATGGAAGGAGGAAGGAAAGAAGGAAGGAAGGATGAAAGGGTGGAAGGGAACGGTGAGAGGGAGAAAGAGGGATGGGAGGAGGGAAGAGAGAAGGAAGGAAAGACAAAGGGAAGGAGGGAAGGAAGAGGGAAGGAAGGAAGGACAAAAGGGTGAAAGGAAGGAGGGAAGGAGAAAGAGGGACGGAAGGGAGGGAGGAAACAGAGAAGGATAGGATGGTGAGAGAGAAGAGGGTCTGAGAAAAGAGCCCAGGAGGCTGCATGTGGCCCTTGGGCCTGGGTTTGCCCATACCTGCCATAGAGTTTATTATATCAAATTTCTATGAAGCTATAATTTAGACATAACACATGGTTTCCCAAGCACAGACTATGAGGACTTGTACTTTCCAATATATTATACACTATAATATTCTGTAAACAATTTCACTAAGTCAGAAATTACAAGCCATATCAGATCATTTTAACAAAGGGATAACATTAAGCAAAAATGAGCAGAAAATTTACAGGTATGACTGTAGGTTTCAGTGTGCTCACCTCTGCACTATCAAAAGGAGCAATATAACAAGGCTACCCTTACAAAAAGGAAATAAAATTAACAGAAGCTCTTGTAAGATCTCAAACAGTGGATAAAAATCACTTTTTAAAGCCAGAAGACCTACATTTCCAGACTGGAAATAAGAAATGACCCAAATTTCAGGAACGTTAATAAAAGAAGGCTGTACCAGTAGGAGAAAGCCTATAGGTTTTGCTAAAAGAATGCTGGGACAATGACATGACACCAAAACCTAAAAGTGACCATGATTTCCCCACTGTAGATATAACATTTCTACAGTGGGGAAATCCTGAGCATTGTTCCTCAATAATAACTTTAAAGGGGCTTAATTCTGAGTGGGCCCCAAATTACCAGTAATATCACTATAATACCTATATTAGGTCAATTAAAATGACACAAAAACCCATACAAGTTTTCAAAATCTCCAGATTTCTTCTTCTAGGAAGATCGTGCACCTGGAGATCAGAAAAGCTTGGATGTATTTTGATACTATTTCTGATGGCCTGAAAGTATAACAAAAGTGTGAGTTGAATGTGTGTGTATGTGTGATATAGTGAGCATGGCTACTTTTCCTTTTCATGTTCCTTCTACATATATTTTATATGCACTTTCATTACATTTCTGTACAACTTAGATTAAAGATGCATAATAGAAATACAATCCAATCTTATGTGAGTCATTTTTAGCTAACATACAATGATATCAGTCATTAATAAAGCCAACTGAGTGTAGAGTGGGAAGAAGAAAGGGAGAATTGGGTTGCTGTATGACCATATTCCAGTAGCATTCTCTCCTAATATTTTGCCTGCATCTGTGGTTAGCATCTTCAGAGGTCTTCTGGAGATGAGGCAAGTGGAGTGTGTGTATGTATATATCTGTGGAATACCCAGGGTGGGAGAAAGAACCCTTGTCTGTGTAAAGCAAGCATGAATGTTGCAATTAGCAAGCTTGAATAGCATTGAGTAGCCATGAAGCTACAAAGTTAATCAGTGAGGGTATCTGCATAAACAAAATTTAGTTACCATTTAACACTGGAATCAAAACAGTAAATAAAGAACACAAAAACAGGGAAATTCCAGACAGCAAACAATCAAATTGCCAGTTAACACCTCCCAAACAGACGATGCCTTCAGGCACAACAGCCAAGCTACCTCTATGCGGATACCCTCACTGACTGACTTTGCAGCTTCATGGCTACTCAAAGCTATTCAAGCTTGCTAATTGCAACATTCACACTTTCTTCACACAGACAAGGGTTCGTTCTCCCACCCGGGACATTCCACAGATATATAAATACACCCCATTTGCCTTACCTCCGACAGACTTCTGAAGATACTGGCAACAGATGGTGAAATATCAGAAGAAAATGCTACTGGAATATGGCCATACAGCCTGAAAAACTCTCACCAACCCAGTGATTCCAGCCATGAAAGCCTTCAATAACACAAAGGAAGAATTGTTTGAATACTCGATTTATTTACTCAATTTAATGCCATCGAGGAAGGCGAACCAAAAAGAACAACAGGGAAAAAAATGGAGAAGGAGCCAGCTTGGTGGCAAAGGACTGCCCTGGAAAGAAGGCAGGAAATGCATTAACAGGGACTGTTCTTTGTTGTGTGTATATGATGTTCAATCAACAGATTACTGTAAGAAAGAAATAGCCTTTGCTTTAGAATCTGATTGTTTATGACACATGGTTCTTATAGTTTGTATTCTACCTGCAAACAAATCTGTGATTACAACATGAGATCCTAAAATACTCTCACTTGGAGAAACTTAATTCTCATATTTCATACACCTCCAAGAACACAAATGGTATAAATAATGATTTACCTTGTCTCTGTGGGTCAACTGCTGACTAATAACATCCTCACATATGCTAGAGGATGGAACGAGATTGTGTAACTGGAAAAAAAGCTCCACACTCTTCTGGTGATGTTGAGGAGTTCCATCACCTAACTGGTCCCATAAGGTCAATGCCACATGCTTTCCAGGACAAACACAGGGCAATCAGAGAGAGAAAGAAAAAAACAACAATCAGAATGTTAGTTTTTCTTAAGTAGTATTTCCCTTAGTGATCAGCTGAGAATATGGTAGGAAAGGGCTTGGGTTTCAGGTAAAGTTGTTTGATATCCAAGATGCTTGTGATGATTTGACAAAAAGGTGATGGCACTCCTCTGCCAATTCCCTTTTAGTGTTTCAGCACCAAAAGTCCCACTGTAAGGAATAGCGAATGGACCAATGGAACAACTACGGGCTTGATTTCGGATGGCATGATCTTAATAACTGTTTTTAAGTCATGTTGTTTATCAGTGGGTTTTAATATAAATGTTTCTGGTCGCTTCTGGAAGATCTACAGAGACACTCTCTGGAACAACCCAGTAAGCGAGAGTCGAAAAGTGGCAGGCTCAAACCCAGAACCTCAATCAATGGCTGATACCAAATGAGAGACTCCCCCCTGGGCACACAGAAGACTGGGCGACTTGGAAGGCACTGAACAGACTGCGCTCTGGCACCACGAGATGCAGAGCCAATCTTAAGAAATGGGGCTACAAAGTGGAATCCATGACATGTGAGTGTGGAGAAGAGCAAACCACAGACCATCTGCTGCAATGCAACCTGAGCCCTGCTACATGCACAATGGAGGACCTTCTTGCAGCAACACCAGAGGCACTCCAAGTGGCCAGATACTGGTCAAAGGACATTTAATCAACTACCAAGCTTGCAAACTTTGTGTTTTGTCTGTCTGTTTGTTTGTTTTGTTAAAAATGTAATACAAATGTCTGGTTGCTCCTGACACAATAAATAAAAAAATATATAAATGTTATTGTATTATCGATGTTTAATTGTTTATGCTTTATGTTTAAATGTTATTTATATTTATTTTTTCATTTGGTTAGGTTAATTTATAGTTATATGTTATTGTCTTGCTATTATCTTTTGGTTTTCACATGTATGTACGGCATTGAATTTTGCCTTTATAATGTTGGAAACCGCTTTGAGTTCCCTTAGTGGGAGAAAAGTGGTACATAAATGTAGTAAACAAACAAACAAATAAATAAATATGTTCAACAGGTTCTTTTGATGTTCAAAAGAGAGTTCTTGAAAGATAGGGAATGGGAAAGCACCAGTGCATAAGTAAAGTTGGAAACAGCTTTAAGGCACATGACAACATTATTTGAATATGTACACAATGTTCCTACAGAAGCAGAACATGGAACATAGCCACAGGAAACATTGTCTACAAACAGCAACACATCTTTATTACTGCAAAAGCTACATGAACATTGTACCTTGAAAAAATCTGTTTTTTCAGCCATGTACCGGATGTTGCCTTGATTGAGAGGAGGTCTAATGACAACAGCCACTCTTCCTTGGTTTGGACTTAGAGGTTGTGCACTTTCAACACCATTTATATTTTCTCCAGTGACCATTGCAACTGACTGAGTCAATCCAACTAAGTCCATTATTAAAGAAATAGTAACACCTTGGATGCCAAAATCGTTTGCTTGCCTGCAAGCACTCATCAGAGTCTGGAGCCACAAAGGGGGTTGCTCTTGCTCACAATCTGTAATGGAGAAAAACAGGTTCCTATGAAGAAGCTATTATTATTATTGTTTTCCACACCTTGCTTATTATATCACCATTATAAACAACATTGGCTCTTGATTTTTTGTTTTATATAACTAAACAATTTAATTACATAAAACAAAACTAGATAGCATTTTTCAATTATTAAAAAAACACCTTGTTTAGAGATCTACACTTTATGTCCTCTCTAAGCTTCTTCTCTGCTATCAATTTGTTATAATTAGGAAAAGCTTGAGACAAAAAGATAAAATACAACAACACCTTAAGAGAACCTGCCATTTTAACTTCGTAAATTGATTATTTTCAAATTGCTCCATAGGTACATAGAGAACATTCTGTTACATGTACATTTAGTTTGTCTGCCTCAGGATATGGTTTCTTCATTATTTTATAGGGAAGTTGACAGGAGGTATGTGACTCCTATTTTGGGAGTTTTTTAGTTACACTAAAGCAGGATCAGCCCTGGTACGTACTTGGATGGGAGGCCACTTATGAATACAGATGCCATAGACTATATTTCAAAGAAAGGAACTGGAAAAATCACCTCTGAGTATTCTTTACCTAAGAAAACTCTATGAAATTCATGGGGTTACCATCAGGTTGACAGGGGACTTGAAGACACTTACACATACACACTGATGCTTTTTCCTTTTTCCTTTTAACATCCCATGATGAAGGCTATATATAAAATTGTGGGAATGAGAGGGATGTCTTTCCATGTTCTTTATATTTGGGGGAGGGGAGGGGGTTCTGTGTAGTTTAAGTGCATACTTATTTGAAAATTGCACTTCTTAACATTGGGAGTGGGGTGTTGAAGGACTCCTGGTCAGATGTTGCCTTTGGGCCCCACTATGGTCATCCTTGTTGTACATGAACGAAACCCAGGATAGTAGTTTTTAGCTAAATAACAACAACTCAATTTCAGAAGATTCACAGAAAGCATCTATATGCACTGGGATATATATGATCTAATCAGATATCATGGCAAGCTTTGGTAGACATTACAGTACTAAATGCCTTATGTCTATAGTTGTCAAATTAATTAAACCCCAAGATATTTCAGACCAAAACATATTTTTACAAAGAGACATACTAACTTTCCCAAAATTGTGAGGAAGAAAGAAGACTTGGATTTGTGCTTGCATGAAAGCCTATGAAATAAAAAGGCAAAGTAAAAATGCTGTATCTCACCAAAAGTGGTGTTTTAAATTCAGACTGGAAGGGAAACTTAGCAGAGAAGGAATAAACATGCAGCCAATTACTCACCAATGTCTGCCTGCTCAGCATGTATTTCAGAGGTGTGGTTTCCCTCAGCAATGTAAACTGGAAAACTTGAACATTCAAGGAAAAGCTGACATGCAGCCATAAAGGCAGAGAGGTATTCTTTTGGTGTGGACTTCTTGGTAATTTTTTTCCCTTTAGCTGCATCTCCTTGTGACTCTCTGGTGCATTGCACAGCCTCTCCTTTGCCTCTGGGGAGTTCCTCCTGAAGCTCTGTCACCAAAGGCTGGGACAGGGAGTTGCATGGAATGATGTACAAGTTGATAAATCGGGTTAAAAACTGCTGGACGTACTCCAAGCAGCACTGCATTGCAGTTTTTTGGACCGTTGTTGCCTTCCCACTTCGAGTTCCTATCCCCTGGGTCATCCTGGAAGCAGACTGCACAATGGTCTCCTCCGAACCCACAGTTGAGGCTGACTCTGTCTCCGAGGAGGCGCTGCCAAGGATCGGGATGCCAGGGGTCCCACTTAACATTCGGTCAATGTCATCCGCTGTGTCTGCTTGGTATTGGACAAACTCGGTAAAGCCACTTTCAGATGACCGGCTGCTTGGAGGATTTTCACCGTCTTCAAAGACATCGTTGGGGTTTTCTACTGAAACTAGTGGCATCTAATTGAAACAGAGAAGAAGAATGGAATAAAACAGTGAAATAGCCACTCCATATTTCATGTTAACAAGAACCATTCTTCCACTTTCTGCAGCATTTATCTTTTGTTTATATTCTAAGGGTAGGTGAAGAAAATCACCCCATTTGTATGTGTGCATGTGTTTTACAATTAGTGTTTGATATGATCTTACTCAACATGTCTGAGAAATCTTGGACACCTGGCTTGCATAAAGAATGGGAGTGAAATCCCTTTGAAGTATACATTTCCATGTGGATCTGAATTTCGAGTAGGCCCACAGAAAATATAGCGATTGCTATTAGCAATAAGTAATTTAATTTCCAGGGATTTCCTGGGATTGTCTGGAAGTATGACTAAAAAGTGGATCAAACCTTAGGAGTCAGAATTTTGGCTGAATAGATCCATTTTATTTTATTGTATATCCCTTGGGATCCAACCATTGAGATATTACATTTAATACATACAGATAACAGATTCTGTTAATTTCTGAAGAAAGTATAAGCATTTATAGAGTAAGTATGCCATTCTACTCACTACAAATGTATTTTTTTGCGTACCTTTTCAATTGATTTCCATTATTTGTACAGGAGTTTTGTTAACTTCATTGACATTAGTAACAAGTAAGCACATGCAGAATTTTGCACCCATTGATATATGTGGCAAAGACTTTATTTATTTACTTTATTGTTATCTTGCCCTTCCCCTGATGTAGGGACTCGAGGTGACTATAAGTAACATCATTTCATATGCTTTCTTCATCACTCAATCCTCGTGGTGTCTTGTACTTGTAGCCCCTAGCAATAGTTCAGTAACAGAGCTCTGCCTTTCCGTGCTAAATTACAATATCCTGACTTTCTTTCATGAGACAATTCAAAGTGGATAATAACAATAATTTATGACAATAACAGGGACTAAAAATAAATCAAATTACAACCTGAGTGAATTACATAAAGCAAAAAAAACTGCAGCCACAATAAGTCAACAGCAACAAACTGTACACCATCTCCAAAAGTATATTTGAAGAGTGAGGAGGAAAATTGTCTTGTTTTCAGTTTTGTTAGCCACTTTGGGTCTCTTTTTGTGAAGACAATATATAAATTAATATTATAAAAAATAAAAATATTTTTAAAACCCTTCCTTCCACTTCAAGCTCCTTTGCACATGATTAAGAATGTTCTGTCATTAACATGCTGAAACCCATAAGGTGAAACTCAGGCAATATAAGGGACATAGAAGAGGACTTCTGAAACTGGTCTGACTATAGATTTGGGAGAGACATTGAGCAGGATGCAGTTTACTAGATTCTAGATGGTGCACTGTCCTACATGCTATCAGACTAACTGAAGACATTATTTCTTCTTTATTCCTTTTTGCTCCCAGGTAAAACACGCAAGCATGATCCCAACTAGATAAGATGGTGGGTATGACAGACTCAATTACTTTTTAGGATATATACAAACAGCAACGTGTCCCCCTTCTTGAAGTACATCAGATTTTAAAGTAATATTGTGGGGGCATACAGATTAAAGAACCATTTGAAATTCTACAAATACTACAGAATGCACTTTTAAAACTGAGTATCTTATTTTTCAATACAGAAAAACAACATAAGCAGAATTACCTTTTTATCTTCCCATTCTTTCATGGTGCTGTGCCTACTTGGTAGCTGCAAGACGCCATCCGTACCTGCAGATAACAGCGGGGGTTGAACTTTGCTGAGAATCTTAGAGCAGAGTTTCAGGGAATCTGTAAGCTCAGATAAATGCAAAGTCTGAAGGTGGCTTGTCAATGCAGAGATCATCCTGAGTAACAACTGAGGCAGGTGTTCAGTCTGTATTTCAATGTAGGTTTCCTACCAACAATATACAAACATCACTGTTATCAATGGTTCATGTAATGTATTCTTGCAAGGAATTGTGACTACAACATATAAATAGTTCCATTCACTATCACATTGCATAAAATCAAAGAAACCGATGATGCAAAAAAATGCAAACTGAATGGGATGACAACAAAGGGCCTTTCTTGTCTTCTTCTCCTAGCAAGCTTTTCTGAGGGTGGAAAACTATGCTGGATGGAGGAGGCTGTCATAGAGAGGGCAAAAGGGAGAACATGTGGGAACACTTAAAAAAGACAGATAGTATTGTTGAATACTACAATACTTCTTACAATTGGTATTTCTATTTCATTTTAGTGATTCCCTTCTTTTCTCTTAGGTTCATAAACAACAGTCAACCCATTGCACTAGAGTTTCCTGACTCTCAGAAGAGACTGGCAGGGCTTGAGGAGAGATGGGAGATTATTCTTAGGCACAATAGGTGGGAGAGACTCCACCCATTTCACCAGGGTTTCTCTGGATCCAACCAGAACCACAGGCTGTCAAGCTATTATTATGCTCACTGATAGTCCAATCTTCTACATCAGTGTTTTTCAACCTGTGGATCCCCAGGTGTTTTGGCCTACAACTCCCAGAAATCGTAGTCAGTTTACCAGCTGTTGGGATTTCTGGGAGTTGAAAGCCAAAGCATCTGGGGACCCACAGGTGGAGAACCACTGCTCTACATGTGTACTCAGAAGGAAGGACAGTCAAATTACACCCACACAGGAAAGCAGTCTCACAGGGAATGGCATTCTTCTTCTACTACTACTACTACTACTACTACTACTTCTACTACCTATTCTCATTGTTCTGGATACAAGTGAGATAACTATGCTTGCTAAATATGTAGGAAGAGGATGGGAAATAATAAAACTTTATTTATATACCGCTTCATCTCCCCGAGGGGACTCAGAGGTTCCCAAGTAATATCACAAAACATACAGAGTAAAAACAACATAACCATAAGATTAACAAACAAAATATAAACATAAAAATTGTTGCCATAACACACATATATTAAAAATAATCCTGCCCGTCCAAGGCAATTAAAAATTTAAAAGGCCGGGCCAAGATTTGTGCAAGCCCAAAAATTCTAGGTGGCCCGGGAATTAAGTGCAATGCTATGGCAGGCAACAATAATATTAGATCTTTGGCTGTCCATTCCAGGGCCGATTAGGGAAAGAATCTGGGTAACTGGTAGGAAGAATAAGGCCGTATTAGATAATGTGTGGGGCTGAGTTAGAACTGGCCATTTTCAAAGGCTTGTTGAAACCACCAGGTCTTCAAGCTCTTACGAAAGGAGGGGAGGGATAGGGCCTGTCTTATTTCCCTTGGAAGGGCATTCCAGAGACGAGGGGCCACCACTGAGAAGGCCCTCTCTCGTCCCCACCAACCGCGCTTGAGACGGTAGTGGGACTGAGAGGAGGGCCTCCCCAGAATATCTTAAAGCTCGCGCCGGTTCATAGAAGGAGATGCGATCGTGGAGATAGGTGGGGCCCGAACCGTTTAGGGCTTTATAGGTTATGACCTGCACCTTTAATTTGAAAGTGCAAGAACATGTGCCTGCACTATAGAGAAAATGACTTCATGATTAATCTACAAAGAAACCAACAGCCAAAACAGTATATACAAACATTCAGAAATGGTTGTATAGACAATTCTGCCCAATGATTTATATTGCTCAGAAATGTCTTAACAGCAATGATAATGTTATCTTGATAACTGCATCTTCCCTAGTCAAACCAAACACTGATGGAAATTACTGGATTATTCATAAGATAACGACAGCTGGATATGTCAACTGTGTGCTTCAAATAGAAAGCAATGTGCATTTATTGACCCAGAAAAAATGTTGAAAGAAAATCAGGATAAAACTACAGACAACAAATTCTAGAATACGTTAGCTTAAACAATATTCACAATTAATTTGCTCCTAATTCTTATCAAAGTAAATACTGGCAGAAACATGTAAAGTATAATTTTAGTTAAAAGGGGGAAAAAGACTGAATTCATACCTGACAAAGCACTCTCATACTTCTAGTAGGCTTTGAAATGAAAAAGCAAAGAATTTGAAGAAAGACAGATAACAAGGGAAAAGCATTTTCAAAAGCCTTCATTAAGACAGATAAAGATTATAGAAGTTACAATAGTGACATGCATAAATGACTATTATTATCTAACATGTTTAGCAAAAGCACATTACACAATGTCTTCAATATAACAGAATGAAAAGAGGAAGAACTGGAACACATTCTAATGCCAAAGAATTAAAACAGATATTCGTTTTAAAAACAAGCAGTTTCTCAAAGTGAAGTCATACCACTATTTTAAGCAATGCTTGCCATGCAAGGTCTAACAAAGTTAAAGACAACACCAAATTCTACAACTCCACATAGTTTATCATCTATTTTCCCTCCAAAATGAGAATTTGCAGGAAGGGCATATATACTTCATTGTTATGATCCATAAGCACAGAGAATCTTACCAAGGATACTATATCCAACAAAAAATCAACCAGCAGGCAAAAATTGGTGAGGGGAAGTTCGGCGGGTTCACTGCCTCCGCCAGGCACAGTTTGTAGTCGGGCGTGCAGCGTTCTCCTATGAATTGAAAGTTATTTATTTCATCGGTACAGGGCAGCAATATAAACAGACAATACAAAACAGGTTGTGTAATATCATGAAAATAACATAATATGAGGATACTGGTAAAAATAGTGCAGCTATATTTCAGCTGCACAATATAATTTTAAATGATTAGTAACTAAAGTGTCAAGGAAATTACGTGCCTAGATTTCTTTTTAATTTCGTGACACTGCCCACAGATTACACTGATTGGGCAACTGGTGTAAAGGTATCCAGTTGTCTCCATTGGCATTGTTCTGCCCTTGAAGATTTCCACAACTCTTCCCACACTATTCTTTAGGAAAAAGAGGGAATGGCAACCATTATATTCCTACACTCCATTGCAGAGCATCCAGCAGGAGAATTCCAATCTCAGGAAGTCTGGATCTACCCCTACAACACTACCAAAGCAGTTGCAAACCTGAAAGGACCATCACAGATATTCCAGAACAGCCAAATGTTTTGTATCACACCCCACACATCCTCAATCACATTATTTTAATTGAAGTCACCACCGCTAGCCAAATGGCAATTGTGGGAGGGCAAGTATTTTCACACTGACACACAGAGTCATGATTATGCTAGAATGGAAAAGGACCACAAAATTACTGTTTGCCACTTGAGAGGCTGGGTGACTAGTCTGTCAAGTGATAACTCTGCTCTCCCAACTAGCCTGTTGTGAACTACTTGAAGAGGTACAGAAGGGATTCCATGTCACCAAAAACTACTGGCCCCTAAGCTGGATGTGATCCCTGTTGTCCTCATCCCTTGGTGCCATTACAAGACTCCCAATTGGATATTACAGTTTTACAAATTTGGAGGTACCCAAACATGTCCTCCCCAGGAGTTGTGATAAATAACAAATTATTTCATAACCCAGTCATAACAATATCATAGTTAAAACTCATCAAGTATGGAATAATCATATGGAATATAAAGCAATTCTGAACTTGTCCTGAGGGTAAATAACAATCTCTGCTTGATTTCTGTGAGGATGATATTTGAAATATTTAAATCTTCTTTCTAGAGCAGAAGAGAACAAGCTTAGTTTATTCCTCTAGGACTGAGCTGGATTAGCACAATTTTATACCCTCAAGAGACAGAATGGGCTCCAGCAGTTCTAACCCTCTGCAGAAAAAAGCTGTTAAGCAGTTGTAAGTCCATTTCCAGTTTTCTGGTTGTGTGTATATGTGTGGGTGTAGCTGGGTCTTCTTTTAATGCAAAAGAGCTATTCCTAGAGGCTTCTAGAAAGAACAGTAGATTTTTCAATGGAGGAATAGTGAGAGATTCTGAAGCAATCTGGTACCCACAAAAGCAAAACTACATGCCAGATATACAACAAATAATCCCCACCCCTTTCCTATGGGTAAGAAGAAATATTCAAACCACTGTTAATTACTTAAAAGACGTGTTGGTCTGGATCAGGATGTAAAGGGATTTTGTTACACCTTTGAGACTAACTGAGAGCAAGAAGTCTGTCACATAAGCTTTTGTAGACTAATCTACTTCATCAGATACACTGCTAATTAAATTTAACTTACCTACAACATTCTTCAAACCAGCGGGCAATGTAATCCCACATATAATAAGGCTCAAAGGAATTAAACAGAAGATTGGCAGTTTTAATCAGCTCTGCTGTTTTCTTATTTTCCCTCAGTTTGCTGGAAGGAAAATGCAATTAACAATTTTATTTATTTATTTATTTATTTACTTTACTTGTATACCGCAGTTTCTCAGCCCAACAGGCGACTCAACGCGGTTTACAACAAGGATAAGAATCAATCAACGATATACAATTTAAAACCATAAAAGCATAATATACAATATTGACACAATATTCATATGGATGCTTTCATTCACTTGCAGCCTTGCACCAAATCTATTTATTGATTTTCCTCACAGATATCACATTATCTTCTTTTCCTGTCCAATCCTTTGGCTTTTTGCTTTATTTCCATACATGAAATCTCAGCTCCTGCCTCTGAACCATGAAGAATGCCCATCAAAAGCTTCCTTGAGACCATAAAACTCTTAAACTATTATCTTCTAGGAAAAAAATAGCTCTTTTACTGGAAAATCCTTGGTAGAGTGTCTCTGGTTACACCAGGGATGGACAAAAAAAACCTGTGACCCAAATTCCATAAGCAGACATTAGTTCGGTTTCACAAAGGTAGCAAAGCATAGGAAGAACATGGAAACAAGTGAGTATAGAGTAGTGGTTCTCAATCTGTGTATCCCCAGCTGTTTTGGCCTACAACTCCCAGAAATCCCAGCCAGTTTACTAGCTCTTAGGATTTCTGGGAGTTGAAGGCCAAAACATCTGGGGACCCACAGGTTGAGAACCACTGGTATAGAGAGTTTCCTTCCAGATTTTTCTCAAGGGAATCTAGTCCTTAACAGAGAAGCATTTCCCCATTCTTGGACTACAGAATCTTTTTTTAAAAAGGTATACTCATTATAAAAATGGAACCAGTTACTATATAAACAAGAAGTCTTGCTATTAAGAATGATCTACAGAGAGCTCTAAAATATAAAAACCTTTACACACCAGACAATTTAAGGAAAAGACTTTGTGAGATAGCCTAATTTAGGTGCTAAACAGAGGTCATAATAGCCTTAGTTTAGGAACAACAGTGGCCGGGGGAAGTGTTACTCTTATGGTTTATCTTTCAATAATTATCACTCACCTACTATACCTGCAGATTCAATGTATATTCAGTGATGCACCCTAATACAATGCAAACTAATTTGCCAACAATTAGGTACATGAACATTTAGAGCATTTTGACTAAACATCTTGGCTGGTGTTCAAACAGCTATTTTAAGTTGGATGAAAGTGTTATATGTGTTATTTTTAGTTTTTTAAAAAACTAATGTTGCTTCATTCCGTCTCTGCTTCCCACAATCAAATTGATTTTGTAACTTCTCATGCTCTCAAAATATTTGTGATGCCTGCTGTTCAAGTAAAAATTATAGCTATTCTGGCCCACTGAGCTAAATGAATAGTTCTTTAAATGCAGGCTACAGCCTGCGATTTTCCTTTTCAATTCATGTAATCACCTGCTGAGCTGAGCATGGTCCTTGCTGAAAGAAGACTCCACTTGAAGATCCAATTCAGTTTTGCACTGTGTGTATAAGGTCCTAAATACTTCAATCAGAACATCCTCTAATATCACAGGTCCTAAAAATGAACAAAAGAAAGAGGTGCAATTGTACAGGTCAAAAATTCCACCCCAGTTAATATGTAACTTGGTCTCAATTCATGTCAGTTGAAGTTTAATCAACTGTACAATGGAAGACATTTGCTCATACTGCCTTTGTACTTATTTCATTTGGCCATCCAAACCTGTTAAGCTGCCAAAACATTTACAGAGATCTGTAATGGTAGACCTAAATTGCAATATGCTTGCTTACTGAGAAAGCATTTGATGTAAAGTAGTTAATAAAAGTATAGTTCTTAGCATGATACTATGCTTGGTCCATTCCAGTGTCAATAATGAAGGATGGGATAAAGCATTACTGGAAGGGAAACTCCAAAGTTGTAGTATGCTTAAGTGCATGGGACATATGCATTCACAGAAGGGGGCAGTATAAAACATACACTGTATTGAATCCTGGGTTTGCTTCCTGTGAAAAGAAGAATCCTGTTCTAGAAAATACAAGGATATCTCACTCTTGCAAAGTTTATTCCATTCATGAGGCTCCAAATTAGGAATGTATATTAGTTTATGGACAAGGACCATGGTCACATTCACAGTATTCCCATGGAAATCAATAATGCAATAAAGACTTTAAATTACTTACAACTGATCTAAACACGACTGGGAAAGGATTGAACCCATGAGATAGATAGGCCATTGGACCCATACATACAACCACAGTACACTGGTTCTGGGTAAACAACTATGCATTTAGATTACTAAAACTAAGCTATCTGTCAACTAAGTAAAATAGTGTTTATGTTAATCCTGTGTAGGCATTTGCCTGCAACTCAAAATAAAACTCAGTTGAGCAGAGGGTAGGAATGTATGAAGACCTACTCTCAATGTCCCCATGTATCTTATTTCGTTAAATTAACTTGAGAGTTTTGAATGTTAAGATTTTAAGAGTCTGTAAGCATTTTGAACACTCTTGCAATGCTATCTGTGATCAGAAATCCTAACACTATGCTGGTAGGATGCATTTTTCAAGATAAATAGGAATGCTGGAAGCCGCATGTGCAAGTCAATTCATATCCACTTCAACTGTACTCATGTTACAGACTGATGTCTGCATGGGACACTTTAACTGCAATAAATGAAAAGTACCTGTGTAAGCGTTAGAAAGGATGGTACTGATATACTACTCATTTGTCAGGGAACAATGTCTCTAGATAGTGTCAGTGTAATGTACTACCTACTTCTTCCAGTTGTGTTGATTTCATTACGCCTTAATGTGTGGACACTGTCATTAAAAACTGAAGTTTTGATCTTATCCTCAAAGCATCATTACAGGGTTGTTTAAGACTACATCTTAATTATTGTTTAAGACTACATCTTAACTATTGTTATTCACTTAGTTCTTGCTGATTGTTTTATCTTTACTATCCATGTAATGGGATTTTGGACTTGCATGCTGATCCAAATGCTAGTTACACTACACAATACTAAGATGCGTACCACAACGTTGTACAAGTCTTGGTTTTACCTACATCTTTGAACACTCTCCTTTAAATAGGAAAACATCATCGCCTATTTCTCCTTCTTTGATAGTGCAACAATGAATGGCCTACTTCATGAGGTTGTTGTGAGCAAAAAGGAGTCATGTACAGCACTGCTTTCAGCTCACTGAAGGAAAACCAGAACAATTTATATCAGCCATGAGCAAACTTCAGCCCTCCAGGTGTTTTGGACTCCAACTCCCACAATTCCTACTGGCTGTTAGGAATTGTGGGAGTAGAAGTCCAAAACACCTGAGGGTCAAAGTTTGTCCATGCCTGATTTATATTCTGCCTTTCTCCCAGCACATAAATGTAGATAATAAACCCATTAAGTGACCTTGGGAAAGTTACGGTCTCAGAGAAAGCAGAGGCAAATCCCCTCTTGCCAAGAAAAGCCCAACATTAGATCACCTTAGGGTTGCCATAAGTCAGAAATGATTTGAAGACACACACAACAATAAAGGAATAAATATAACCAGAACGCCTGGAATGTTGTTTACCGACAGTTAAGATGATTTTAATTTTACTGTATTTTTCTGTATGGCAGGGAGTTGGACTGTATGATCATTGTGGTTTCTTCCAACCTCATGATTCTATGGTTATGCTTCAACAGCTAAGCATAGGGTGGCACTCATGCAGTTACCTAGCTCAGGTTTGTCCAGTAAACTGATAAGAATCCGGAAAGGCTTAAGGTCTTGCATCAATGTACTCTCCTCTGCGCGCACATTAATTTGCAAAATTCCCACCATTGCCTATAAAAAAACCCAAAAGTTTGTAATCAAAATGGTAGAAAAAAAACATTTAGGGCACAGCAAACACAGTATCAGTAAGAAATAATTCACAATACTGCAGTCAATTCCTACAGGCAAAGCCCAAAGTGGCAACATGACTTCCCACTTCTATTAATATACTGGGTAAATGGTAATACAGATCACTTATTTGAAATGCCTGGAACCAAAAGTGTTTAAGGTTTGTAGCTAGCTGAGGCATTGGAGTCTCAGATTTTTTTTTTTCAAATTTTGAAATATCTGTATTTGCAAATATGTGCCTAATGACTATCTATGTTTCATATACACTTTATTATACACATAACTTTAAGGCTATTTCATAAACAATATTTAGTAATACTGTACATGAAACAAAATTTCTGTACACTGAAGCATCAGAAAGCAAAGGTGTCACTATTATTACAGCCACTCATATGGACAATTTTCGATTTCGGAATTCCAGATAAGGGATGTTCAACCAGTATACGCTTTATCAGGTCAATTTGGTCATGCCAAGTAGCAAGTACAAGCAATAAGTGCTTTTCAGGCCTGTAAGGACACAGGATGCTCTTGACAGGTGAAAAAGGGAGGGGATTCTTGTCATTTCCCCTTTCCCTGCAACCTGCCATGTTCCCTGAAATGCTGTCCCCCAAATGGTTGAAGCAGAAATGCAAGGAGAAAATGGGCAAAAATCTTCCCATCTAAACTGAGAACCTCCACAGGATTTATATGCTCTCAGGAAAGGTGACGAAGCCTTGAATCTCAAGGAGAGACACTCTGATAGATTGATTGTATGCAATCCATGAATCTTTGTCTGTAGACTTCTAGGGCAATGTAAGGTCATAGCTGTGGGATGAGGAAAGCATTTTAAATGAAAATATGTTTATATAAATATATGTATCTACTTGATACCCGTGGAATCTCAAAGCAGTAACATGAACATCATTTTTCTCAGGGTTCATGTAGTAAGTTCAAAAATAAGCTAAGGATCACTTAGATTAATGACAGTGCATATAGGAACTAAAAGTCCAACAAGGAAAAGAACTGTAAGTGTGTAGAAGAGACAGAGGCTATGTTTAATGACAATCCACTTTTGCAGACATAAAAAGTTGTGGAAAATGAAATCTTCCATGCAAATATTTTAATTCAGTATTCATTCTTTGGGGGGGGGGGCAGCAAACACAAAACACCCCAATTTCTTGCACAATCAAACACAAAGCCTGTCTCAAAACAGTGCTATTTTATTGATGAAAATCCATTTCGACACATATAATGTAACTAATGTATGCCTAAGTCCACACGGTATTATACAAAATGGTGATGTTGACTTATAGCCAATGAACTGGTATGCCTATTACAAACACCTGCAACCTAACCTTTCCAACTTTTGACCCACTATGCTGCATACAGACCAAAAGATGTCTGCTAATCACAGGAATCTGAAAAACCTCGTGTTTTTTCTGCCAGCTTCTACAGCCCACAATAGAGTAGAAGTGCCTGACACTTTATTGGTCACAGTACGTAACAGAGCTGACCTTTACAGAATCCACTAGGTTTCTCGGTGGGACTGCAGCCTGCCTCACATCTCAAATAAACCAATCCGAGTGGTACCATCATCTCCCTCAGAACCCAACCAATTTTGAAGTGACTATATGGAAATTTTGACAGAAATGTTAATGTTTTGGACCACAGCTTTCAGAAGTCTCTAGCAAATATGGCTGCGAAGAATATAGATATATACACAATCCCTAAGTGAAGGGAATAAAGACAGGTTCTGATGCCATGCACATACTCCCTCATCCTGCCAACATGCAAACAATGCATTAAAAACAAGGTTACCTGAACTAACATTTCCTTAGAGAATGTATTGAAGTAATATGTAGCATGTTCTTCAGGGTTACTGTGCCGCGTGCTTCTAGGCCCTATAATAGCACCATTGTTATCAAAACCTTCAAATGAAGAAAATGAAATGGCAAATTAATGCAATGCTTAAAGAAACCGGTAGAGAACAACAAACAGCTGAGGTCTGACAACTTACCGTTTTGCCGTCCAAATATTGTTGGCAAGAGGAAAGACCATTTTAAATTTAATTTAATAAAAGGCAACTAGTTGCATTCAAGAGCAAAACAACAGGCCGTTTCCCCTTTCTATAAGGATTCCTGGCATTCTGGGTGATGAATGTTCAACCCACTTTTTTTCAAAGGTACTTCAAAAGAATATAAAGTGAAATGAATTTGGGATAGTGTATAGTAGCTTTTTAAGTTTACTCATTTTAGAATCTTGTTCAAAAATTAGAACAAGTCTGTAAGATACTTAATTTGTAGAAGTGAGAATAGTATCTTATTAAAGTCTCATTTGTCGGTTTAGAGCTGAGGTGAGATTTGAAATAAAAATTTCCTGGTTCACAGCTTTGACTCTCACACTGAACTACTTTTTTTTCCATATCAGGAGCAACTTCAGAAATTGCAGGTCGCTTCTGGTGTGAGAGAATTGGCTATCTGCAAGGACGTTGCCCAGGGGATGCCCGGATGTTTTGATGTTTTTTACCATCCTTGTGGGAGGCTACTCTCATGTCCTCGCCTGGGGAGCTGGAGCTGACAGAGGGAGCTCAACAAGCTCTCCCTGGATTCGAAACCCTGACCTGTCTTTCATCAGTCCTGCCAGCACAAGGGATTAACCCATTGTGCCACCGGGGGCTCACTGTACTACTGATGGAAAGTAAGCCTTATGACACATTGACAAATTACTTCTGAATAGATGCCTGCTCTGTGAAGAATTATGCAATACAAGTTCCCAGTGCTACAGAACATGTGCCCAAAGGGAAATGGGAATCTTCTTGTTAAGAGAAATGCCAGTCTGCACATAATTCAACATGACTTGCCATTTCAAACTTAAGGAAATATTATCCAGTCAAAGTTGGACAATACATGGACTGTGTTGTCTTCATGAGCTCAGTTCTCAGTTGCATCTGGTAGGTTCTCTCAGTTGAATTAAATAGTAAATGAGAAAAGTGCATCATTTTTTCTCCCAGTACATGGCCTTACAAAAAGCTTTCAGGAGAGTTTAATTAATGCTAAACTATAAACACTTCACACAACTAATTCAAACACACATTTTAAACTATAGAACAAAGGAGAGGAGAAAAAAGGAGAAGCTCATAATAAGGTGCTCATCTACCTTACCTTTCAAATGCCTGCTGAAATAAAGTTGTTGTCAGTTACACTACCAGAAAGTACAAGAAAAATGAGCAGAGGTTCCTTGAGGAAGGAAATCTGGAGAGCCACTGATTAAGAAAACTGGAGAGGAATGGCCCAAAGGGCCTGTGTAGTCCAATAGCCCATTTTCCATAGTAAGCAATCAACCACCACTGAAAAACCCACAAGGAAGTTATGGTTGATGTTTCTGCTCCTTATGTAAGCTTCTTGCGTGAAACAGCTTCACCATGCAGGACAAAAAAATTGGACAAGACTTCTTTCAAATATGTGTGTGCAGGGGGAGACTGGTAAGATATCTGCGATGAAAATCTGGCATGTTCAAAGTTAAAAATAGCACTATGAATTGTGCAGAGAAACAAAGTGAGATTAACCTTAGGTGAAATATGCTCCTTTGGTCAATTTCTGGGACCATTTTGCACTACACAATTAAAGTGCTATGACCCACTTTAGCAGCCTCGGCAACATTTAGAGGAATCCTAGGGTTTATAGCTAGCTGAAGCATTAGAGACAGGTAGAATAATCATTCTCTAATGTGACGATCCCATTGTGTGTGGAATCATAGTTCTATCATTGTATACAATGCAACTTAGTCCCTGGAATTACATTGGGTGATTGTATACTGGCTAGATAACAAGGAACAGAGCCAAAAATATAACATCATATCCCAAATCTACAGTCAATCCCCTCAGTCACTTATATTTGGTGTGGAAAATATTGGTCTGAGGAACAACAGAGAACCCTGTAGAACCACACAGGTCAGATTCCAAAAGACAGAGTAGCAATTCCAAACAATATAATTCCAAACAATATATTTTAGTTTCTAATACAAGTATGGTTTTTGATGTTGCTAGTAAGCTGACATAGTTCATTAAAACTATTTTATAGCTGTACAAGTTTCAAAAATGTATTTTGAGGTTTTGCTTTTTAAAAGCTTCTTCTCTGTTTTAAAGATTTTTGCCAACTGGAAAGGAGATTGCACATTTCCTCATAACAACAGCAGCAATAACAATATAACCTGCACCCACCTAGAAGCCAGGCATAAAGCCTTCTATTGAGTGACATATCTCTGCGCAGAACTACATGGAGAGATGCTGACAGAATTCTGACCATGTCTGGCCGCGTTGCCTAGAATTGGAAATTTAAACAACATGCAGCAACAGGTTTCACATTCAGAAGTTTAGTCGCATGAAGGAGCAAACATTTAATCAATTCCCCAGTACATCTAGAATTTATGCAAGCTGCTATATGAAACTTAAATAAAATAAAGTGCTTTTATTAAGGCTTACTACTCACTCCATTTCTGCTTTCACCAAATGAGTCTGTGTCTTTGCTGGCAGACAGCTGCCACATTTCTACTTCCAACCCTCCACTTTCTTTCAGAAAATTTAATTTGCTAAAGTACACACTGACAGCTAATGGTGCTCCATGCAATCATGCTGCTACATGACCTTGGAAGTGTCTATGGACAAAGCTGGCTCTTTGGCTTAGAAATGGAGATGAGCACCACCCTCCAGAGTTGGACATGAGTAGACTTAATGTCAAGGGAAACCTTTACCTTTACACACCGGAATAAACCCTTGATCACAGTGCAAATAAATAAATAAATAAATATTTGGCACCACATTACTGTTCTACCAACATTATTTTTCTACCAAACAGGATAAACAGGCTTCATCTTTTGTCCTAATATGTTTTTAAAGCAAATTTAAATGCTCAAGCTTCTAGCAGTCTCATCAAGCAGAATTCTCAATCTATTACTAAATAAAAATTCTAAGAGAGCCTTTTATTATTATAGTTTACCATGTTAATCTCTAGGAATTGATCAGCTTTCTCTAGCTGATAATGAATACGTACGTATGAATTACTGTAATTTCATATTATTAGTTTCATATTATTCACTCAGTTTGTTTCACTCATTGCTAAACACAAATTATGCAGGGGGTAAAAATTGTAAATCTTGACTTGTTACTTTAGCAGCCTAATCATGATAGGTTCTTGATCACTATTTCTTAAGAACCTATAATGCAGGTCAAATACCACAACATGGCATGAATTTTACCAGCCCGGTGTAGTGATTTCTTCACTCTCAGCTCTGTTCAATTCTGCAATAATAAGAGCTTCATCTATTTCACAGTGCCATGCATCAGGCCTGGAGCAAGATCTACAAAAGTAAACCTGGCAGACCCCAATCTACATGCTGAGGTTTCTATCAAGTTGCCATCACACCTTTTTTTGTTCCTTTAATGGAGGCAGGATAATCTATCAAAATGACAGGAAAAAGAAATCTATCCATTCCTGCCACAAAAACTTTGCTTCAAAGGTCCTTGGTGGTAGTGTTCTTCCACCCAACTCCAGCCATTTTTGTCAGGATAGTTTTCTTCTCCTATTCAGCTGGAAAATGAAGGGTAAAAAAAATCTGAACTGCTGAAAAACAACTGAGGGAGAATCCTATCCCACATCAATTTCCTTTGAAGCAAGTGGATCCTTAGCAGTGCATGTATACATGTGTTTGTGTACCCTGGCTCCATTTTTGACATGCTCCCTCTGTTTAAATGAAGAGAGCAATTTCTATTTTAAAAAATAAGTGCAAGTAAACCCTACCATGATGAAGGCATGATTTGGAAATACCATATCCCAACCTAACCAAAAAGCATTTAAAATAATAGCAACATAATGGCAGGGCAAGCTTCCCATTCTGCATTCAACTGTATGGAACTATCCATCCATATTACCGTATTTCATTGAATCTAAGACACCATCAAATGAAAACCTTTGTGATTGTTTCAAATGGGCTTTGAAGTACAATTATTCCTATAGGGTAAAGAGGGAGGTTGAAAAAACCCGGAAGGCATCTTCTCTGCATGACCCTACTTTCCTAATTCTATGGGCCCACTGGGGAGGAAGGGGAAGCAGGAAGTGGCATTTAGCTCAGCCAGACTGGTAAATTTTGTTTTCTGGCTTAGGCTGAAAACAAAATGGTGGGGCTGGGGCTCCTCCTCTTCCCCTCCTCGCTTGAAAGTAAGACAATTGAAAAAACATCCACAAAACTAGTGATCAAAGACGACTCCATCAAATCTCAGACCCCATTTTAAATCCTAAGATTAAATGAAATACAGTATATTCATGTGTTATGGATATTATATTCATATATTGTGGAGGACCATGCCAGTTAATCTGTTAATCTGTGACAAAAGCGAAGCACCAGGAGAGTTATCCTAAAGTTAACTACATTCCCCATGCAGATCCTGGGCAATATTGCTGTTTTCACCTAGTACATGCAATAGGGTATTTAGTAGAATATCCATTCAGTGACACTTTACCTGACTCATGTGGAATGGAAAACAGAAAAGTATCAGGTCGAGCGTGCTCCTCTGGACTAATACACTGGAATCTTGAACTGAAGTGCTTACTGCTTCTACCTAAAATACAATTCCCAGTAAAAAAAGGCAGTCAGAAAATATTTAATGTGAAATAATCTGTCATGAAAAATTAAGTTTAATTTCAATTGAAGAATAACTGGGGGGAAAATATGAAGACCAGGAGATAATGTGAGAAGACATAAGAAGATACAACCAATGGACTTAAAATTTAAATTATTAGAATCCTCAATATTTTATGAAAAATGTGTTATAATCATAATGTAGCCTAAGACCACTTTTAACTATGGTCACATTTTTTAAATTTTTTTATCCACGTGGGATGATAAGAGCATGATCATGTTGTATTCACAAAAGTAATATTCTGTAACACCTGAAAAATTGGGAATACTACCAGACATTCATGTATATAATGCCACAGTATCCAAACCCGTAAATAATAGAATACAATTTGTGTCACACTTATTCCAAACCCTATGCATATCTATATATACATCTACTTTGCAAGTAATTTAAAGGTTATATATGTGTTCTGAAATAAAATACTGGCGATGGTCTCCCCAGGTGGAGTTCTGCTCTGAATGTTCCAGCTGGTAAAAACAGTAAAAAATATAAGTTACTGCAATCTCCAGCATGCCCTGCATAATCACTAGAGAGTCTCCTGTTTCCCCAGAATAGATTTTTGGGAACATATGGTGCATCATTGGGAAGGAGAAAACAGTAAAAAGTTATTCCTCATCATAGCTGTGGGATTCCTCTGGTGGATTAGAAATTCTTGCATAGACAGAAAGAAAATCCTATTTCCAACTGCTTTTCCTTCAGAAAGTTTTTATTAAATGTTGATAACATAACACATTTTAAAATTTATTTCTGTCATCATTATAAAACACTGAGCAAAACTCAGCCAGGGTTAAGCTCTTTCAATTCCATGGAACTGAAAAATCAAAATGCTTAACACTCCCACTGAAATCACAGAGATGTGAAGGTGCCTAACTTTAAAATGTGCACTCTGATGAAGTCAAAGAAAGAGACTTCTGGTGTATATAAAGCTTTTTCCTCAGAATTAACAGGCAATCCAATTCACCCACTAAAACAGAAACTGCTGACAGAAAAAATCCTCCTTTCTCACTGAATGCCAAATTATCAAGAAGACTTCAGCTGTCCTCTAGAGCAGATTGGGGAATCGGTGGACAGAGGACACCAAGGGAAAGTCTGGTATTGTCTGGTTGGATGTAGAGCTATATCATTATTTTAAAAATACCATCTTGGCTTCAGGCACCAGGCAAATACTTTGCCATTCATCTACTGGTATGATAGACTCAGGACACATCAGAAGCAGTACAGTTGTCCTTTCACACTTGCAGAGTTGAATATTCCTAGACTTGATTGAAAATGGTATTTCTAGAAATCCTTCAGTCATGTTGGAGATTCCTAGAAAGAAACATCTGGCCATCTGTTAGGGGTCCTTTGAATGCAATTTTCCTACTTCTTGGCAGAGGGTTGGACTGGATGGCCCACAAAATCTCTTCCAACTCTATGACTGTATTATTCTAACACCTCTCTAGGAATCTCTATGTCCTCCAATGTGATTCTACAGTCAGCTTCAAAATGACATTGACACAGGGTCATGATGGAAGGTCAAGAAATTCCTAAAGAGGTGTTCCAACAGTTTTTTATTTGTGGGGTTTCCCTTCACTTTTACAGGGGTCCTGTGGCCCTAACCCGAGTAAATATGGAGGGATGACTATATTTTTAAAAATTACAAATTAAAGTAAGTGGGATTGGGCAATTCCACAAATTAAATGTTACTGTCACTTACCATTAGTTCAATATCACTACCTATGATATAGAGTTGGTCTTCCATGGAAAGCTTTCTATTGAGATGGGAGAGGACATAAGTAATCCCAGGCAACCGAACTGCAGGACTAGTAAGAAGACTACCCCAAAGCGCACTGTAGAAAGCAGATTGGTCCACTGCACCAGCTACCTTCTCCAGTAGTGTGTTTGTCCTGTGTCATAAATAGCAGAGTTGAAAAAAGAAAAGAAAAAAAGTGAAGGAAAACAAGATGTACAGTTTTAAGTAAACTCTTGAATATGCCTGTCTTCCACAAATTTAAACAAAAGGTTGCAAAAACTACTAAGTTGATTAAAGATAACAGATAAAAGATAAAGAACATGAATGTGATTTGGAACTTATTTATTATTTATTTACAGTATTTATATACCGCTTTTCTCACCTCTAAGGGGACTCAGCATTTGTATTGTATTGCCCTCACAGTATACTGCTAACACCTAGGAATAAGAGCTTTATTTATGTAATCGTTATGTAATAGTTGATATGAGCGGAAAGTGATGCACATGGCTTTCTTCCTCACTACTTTATCCACACAACAACTCTTTGGAATATAGTAAGTGGCACAATGATTGGCCCAAAATCAGCCAAAAAGTTTCATGGCTCAGTGTGCACTATAGCTGGGATCATACTAAAGATTTCATTGACACAAGATTTTATAACAATAGTACTACAGGAACTTACAGCTGCCTTACCTTTCATAATATTCAGATCCTTCCTCCAAACCAGGAAGTATCCCAGTTAACAGTCCCTGCAGGCCTGGTTTCAATGTTTTTCCCAAAGGAA